TCATTTGATTTGATACCTCATTTTGTCTTCTTTTGTGTTGTACTGTCCACAGCTTTTTGCATAAAAGGACGTAGTAAAGTTTACTACAAATTGAACAACAATAATAAAAAGAAAGTGAAGAGAATCAGTTTCAAATTATGGGTTAAGTTACTACATAAAATAACAATACTGACAATGTACGTTTGCCGCTATGTTGTCATACTATGTATGTCAAACGCTGTCTTTTTCAGAAGATGTACGCATGTCAACTTTGTTATTCAAATATGTGCATGAAAGATTAGATAATAACTTAGAAGTACAAGTACAACTGTGCAACAACTCACGCTTATGTAATAGATAATCCTATGTCATGTCAGTCACTACTTCATCTTTGTGCTGTTTTCTCCTCACCTCCTTACATATAGCTGAGATATATTTGTATTACTATATATGTATATTTTTTATTTTTACTTGTACATGTACATTTATATAATTATGCCTTATCTGACACTTGAATGTATTGTATTTGCTCTTTTTTATTATAATATATTGTAATGTGTGAGCTACTGTGTCCAAATAATTTCCCTTGTGGATCAAAATCTAAGCCTACTTTTAAAAATAAATGTTAGTTTTATTCCAAGTTTACTTTTTTGTCTGTTTCTTGTTTTCTTTCTGGGTTTACTCCTTTGCACTCATTTACCCCACTTGGTACACACTGGATCACCCATTATGTTGAAATAACCCATTTTTGCACTCAGACTAGAGCTTAAAAGTATTTCCATGCCTTTTGTACTTTGTCAGGACTTGGCGTGCGTTCTTTTAAATGCCGTGATTATAAAAGTGAAGGTGATATGGGAGTACAGGGGTATTATTCATGAAGGGACTTGCAGAGGAGGGGGTAGGGCTCATCTGCTGCAGTGGAAGGGAAGCTGCCTGTCTTTCTTATGCTTCATTACAATAGGCATTCTTCACTCAAGGGCCCTCTGCTGCCGTTCACACTTCTCCTGATTTGTATTCGAAGTGGCTCCCAGTGCTTTTGTATGCTGGCCCGATCGCTATCTTAAATCCTGACAGTGGAGCGTGCTACACAGACTCAGCTACACAGCCAAAGGGGTGATTTTTATTTATTAGGGACAAAAAATCAATTTTGTCTGTGTATTTCTGAAGACAAAATGATAAGCTTTGTGTACTTTCTAATGCGAATGTGATGAGAAGGAAAATTGCAAAAAGCGCTTGATTGCAAAGTGTAAAATTTGACACAAGAGATTAGACAAACAAACAAAAGCAGGTTTTGGAATTGATATGATACTAGATATAAAGAAACATATTTCAGAATCATTTACCAACATACTGTTTTCTAAATTTGTTGAGCAGTAGGCTATATAATAGGCCATATATTTTTATCACATAGCAGAGTGGCTTGTAATAATGATAGTACAAATTTGACATTACAAATAGGTGTTTTCTGATACCATCCTACTTGAATCATTTATTTTACAATGTAACAGTGCTCTAACTTGAAAGTGAGTGAAAGTTTTGGTTACTCTAATTGTGAGTAAGTGTACTGCTCCCTCAGATATGATTAACTTTTTTTAAAATTAGTAATAGTTAATAGTAATTCCCCATTTTTTAAGCTTACTTGAATAATTTCTTGTACTTGTACTACTTTGCGATTCTATTTTTTCAATTCTATCAGCAGCAGAAAAAAATATTGACTAGCCTGAAACTGCAGGGGTTTTACTGACTTATGAGCTCCAGTTGTCTTTACAAGTTAATAAAAAATAATTCATACACTTTATGTTTCTGCTGCAACATCCCAAAATCCAACTGAGATCTGAAGTTGTTTGAAATATTTCTTTGGTGTCAGTTGACTGTGTTTGTTACATAAACAATTCGTGGAGTAGTTTTTTTTTTTTTACAAATAATAATCCCATAAATAACTTATGATAGATAATATTTTACATAATGATTTTTATGATACAAAACATAAAGTTGTGTATTTGAGGTGTAAGAATAACACTAGCTTTTATTTACTGCTGAAAATGATTTATTGAGTATAGTTTCATTTCATTTAAGGTGTTATGAAGACTGAAGATAATGCAATAGACAACAGTAGTTTCTATGTTCTTTTTACTTTTAAATGTTTCTTATATCCAGGATTATATTTGGAAAACATGAAGTTTAAATTACTTTGTCAATTAATAGTATTCATGGCAATATAGTGGTAGTAGAAGAAGCAGCACTGTGTTCTCATTTTAAATTGTATTATTATTATTATTTATATTTAATACAGTTGATGCAAATATGCATTTTGCTCCTTATTTACTAGTGAAAGTTGTGATTGTGCATATAATTGAGGAGACAGCTGAAAACCAGGCTTGCAGATAACATAAATGCTGTCTGAGTGGAATTGATAAGGTTCATACCAATACAGTACTCTTTCTATTGGGCCCATAGCACTGCCCTGTTCTTTTCCTCCAGGGGTCCACTGCAGGGATCAGCTAACCTAAAACTGTCTTAAACCACAATCACTGGTTTATTTTATCATTTAGAAGTGTTAATGATGCCTTAAATATTACAGATTATTGATTTAGCGCAATCATGTGAATCTTCTGAAGTAGGGCTTGTGTTGTTTAAATACAGAATCATGAGTCATACGCATGTTTGAGTCTTGGTGATTTGAGGTAAGACTGTTTATCCACAAAAGGCTAAACAATAAAAGTACAGTTGACAGTTGGTGTTGAGAATTACCTAATTTATTCATGAGGTTTGTGTTGAGTAAGACAGTTAATCCCTTTTGTGGCAACTGGCTCATTAAACAATAAATCCAACCCTGATATTTTATTGACTGCTTATACAATATACATGTTTTTATAAAAAATGTTGACTGTACCGCAAATAAAACTTCTTTTAACCTGTGTCTGTTTATTGTCAGTTTTTTATGAACTATTACCCGGACTGCCTAAAAACACTATATTACATGAGCCCTGTTTATTAAGATTATTTGGATTTTATTTAGTATTATTTTGGTTCAGAGTGTGGCCATTCTATGAGAAAGCACGCAGAAGATTCTTCAGATTTCTGTTGATAGTGTGAAGACGGTTATATCTCCATAGTGTTACTCAACCATGACTGCAATCCCTCTCTGGCATTCCTCCTCTGAGAAAAAAAAAGTTTCAAAACATCATCCGTAATCATGAAAACTAAACTATAAATGTGTTTTGAAATTGAGATGTGCAGATTTTTAGCGGATTTCAGGACAATGGAGATCACAATTTGACAACGCGGTTTTCATTGCTAAACTTTAATGATAGGTTGTTTTAAGCCCTGACATAGGGCTCGCCAAATCAGTGCAAAGTGCTGATATACAGAGAATGTTAAGTCTGAATGATAGACAGTAATCCCAAACCACACTTGTCTGCACTGCTCCATTTAATAAAGCAGGAGTTATTTAGTGTAAAATGTTGTATCTCCGAGGCAGGCAGGGATGGAAAGAAACCAAATACTTTTAAAAACATACTTGTTTTTTACCAACATTATACTGTCTGTACATTTCTGGTGGAAAAATATGTGTTTTGTTTACACTGGTTATTGCATTGGCATGGACAAGTGTAATATGAAAAGTTGATTTATAGTTTGTACTTTGAGTAGCAGTAATTTACCTGGACAACATGGACAAATGTAATCATGTTTTTAACACAGAGATCCTACAAAGAGCCAAAACATGCCTAATAGTAGCTAGTGCATAGACACAGTAATAGAAATTGTAGTGTATTTTTCTCATTTTACTAGTAGTAGTACTGTATAAGCAGTGTAGTAGCAACGTTTCTCCTCTTTATCCTTTACATAAAGAAGGCGTTGACATCACCATTACAGTAAAGTCAGTAAATCAGTGCCGCTAACTGTGTCACCGCTTATACATCAAAGATTTATGAGTATATTCTTGCCACATAAGGATATAGTGTTTCAGCTTTGGTTTGGGGTGAGAGGTGGGGGCCTGTTGCTGTCAGCACCAACTTAACTGAAATAAGAGATGCTTAGTCAAACTGAGAGAACGACTTAAAACTAGTTTGGTAAAAAAAAGAAAAAAAAAATCCCACATTATAAAGCATGTGGTACTTTTCAAATCCACTGGGGGTCATTTGGTTTCTGCAGAGACAAAAAAAGCCGTTTGACTGGTGACTGGTGTGCAGAGGTGAGGCAGGATACAAGAGGCTGATGATGAAAACTGTCATCAAATTAAAGAGAATGTTGTGAAGAGCTGACACAGGCAGTTAATCTGGATTTTATATTTCCTTTATGCTGAAAAGACCAAGTGCAATATGGCACACTAGACCAAAACCCTGTAAATAGTAACATTATGGAGTTTAAATACAGATACAAAATACAAGGCATTTTGAACGCGACTTAAGAAAACAATTATAATGAAATAATCCACTTAGCCTAAACTTTCAGCCTATAGCCAACCAGCTATAGCAGCAGGTGTGTTTTTGCACAACTATAATAGCCCATATTAATCTTGACCTCCACTGCCTACGCGCTGATGGAAAGATGGCTCTGAGAATTTGCGATCTGGATAATTTAGTGAAATACCGCGCAAATAACGACCTGAATTTATCCATAGCCTATTATTTCTAAAAGAAACGAGCAACAGTTGAACGCTAAACGTTTTAAATTAACAGGTCAACATATTTTTGGTTCGCCAGAAATCAGTGCAAATGCAGTAACTCAGTGCGTAAACCAGGGACGTGCGTAAACTAGGGTCGCACAGGTACAGCGCAGTCTGGATGCTTAACCTTAGTTCAGTTTGTCTTTGGGTCACAGACGTTCACTGGAGTTTGTCAGACACCACTCCTCTGCGCGCGGTTTGTTTTCCCTCGTTTTTGTTTTCAAGATGACTTTGTTGCAGACAACGTTTGAGTACCAAAAGTTTCACAAAGAGCCGCCCTCGTGACAGACAGTTGGCTTTATACTGAACCTGTTTTTGGAGCCGTACATCCCGCCTCCTCCTCCCCCTCGTTTAGCGCTCGGGCCACTGTAGCTGTGTGTTGCGCGGGGAGGGCTCAGGCCCGGCCCTATTTAAAGTCGCGCCTGTGTCTTCACACAGATAACTCTGCTTCTCATGCGACACACGCGACTAACGTAACGTATCATCACGAGCGGTCAACATGGACGAAAACGTAAGTTTCTTCAATGTTATTATTGTCTTTTCAAGGCTATCCTCAAATGTTTGGGGTCTTGATTTGAGTTATGCGTGAATTGGACAATTTTAAGTAAGTGGCCTTTAAGAGTCTACTTGACGAGAAAAAAGGACTTAACTTGTAATGAGTAGCCATATCTTTCCATGGAGAAATATATATATATATATATATATATATATATATATATATATATATATATATATATATATATATATATATATATATATATATATATATATATATATATATTTATTTATTTATTTTTTTCTTCATAATAGTGCAATAGTTTTCTTTTTTTTTTTTTGGTGAATTGCACAAGAAGCGTCTATTTAATGTTGCCCTTTGTAATATTCTTGTCTTAATGTATTTCACAGTTTTAATTTATTTTTCCTTTTTTTCCCAGTTTCCTACATACACTTTTGACTTCTCCGACAACAGTACAGACAACCTGTCTCTTGAGTCTGAAGACTTTGGCTTGGACTACCAGGAGCCCTGCGAGAGAGCAGTCAGCAATGACTTCAACAGGATCTTCCTCCCCACCGTCTATGGGATTATTGCCTTTTTGGGAATCATTGGCAATGGACTTGTGGTTATTGTGATGGGCTACCAGAAGAAAGTTAAAACTATGACGGACAAATACAGGCTGCATCTCTCAGTGGCTGACCTCCTGTTTGTGCTCACGTTACCTTTTTGGGCTGTGGATGCTGCAAGGACTTGGTATTTTGGAAGTTTCCTTTGCGTTTCAGTCCACATGATCTACACTGTCAACCTGTACAGCAGTGTTCTTATCTTGGCCTTCATCAGCCTGGATAGATACCTCGCTGTGGTACGTGCAACCAACAGCCAAGCCACAAGGAAACTCCTCGCCAGTCGGGTGATCTACGCTGGTGTGTGGCTCCCCGCTGCTATCCTCACCATCCCAGATCTTGTTTTCGCTCGGGTCCGGGACACTTCCAACCTGCTTATGAACCAGGACGAGAGCTTGGAGTCCTCAGATGTTCGGAGCATCTGCCAGCGAATCTACCCACAAGATTCAAGCCTCATTTGGACTGCAGTGTTCAGATTTCAGCACATTTTGGTTGGTTTTGTGCTACCTGGACTGGTCATTCTCATCTGCTATTGTATTATCATTGCAAAGTTGTCACAAGGCTCCAAAGGACAAGTTCTGAAACGAAAAGCGTTAAAGACTACAGTGATTCTCATCCTGTGTTTTTTCTGTTGCTGGTTGCCATACTGTTTGGGCATCTTCCTGGACACCCTTGTGATGTTGAACGTCATCAAGGCATCATGTGAACTAGAACAAGCTATTGAAAAGTGGGTTTCTATTACTGAGGCGTTAGCATATTTCCACTGTTGTCTGAACCCTATTCTGTATGCCTTTCTGGGAGTTAAGTTCAAGAAGTCAGCAAAAAGCGCACTCACTAACAGCAGATCTAGTCAGAAATCTCTTATGAATAAAAAGCGTGGTCCAATTTCATCCATTTCAACAGAATCTGAATCTTCAAGTGTGTTGTCAAGTTAATGACTCTTAAAATGTAAGCTTTAATTTCAACTACATTTTGTAAAGATGTAAAAAAGAGTTTTATACATTGTGACTTACTTGCTGTGTTTTTCATTTTATAAGGTTTTGCATTTCAAGTTTGTCTTCCCATATGTTTAATTGTTTTATTCCTTTTTTTTTTTTTTTTCCTTAATTATCCTTAGATGGCCGGGCATCAACTTGCCTGTCTTTTACTGTTCAGGGAGAGCTGCTTTCTGTAAAACTGTACATAGAATTTGTAGCATTTGTTTGTGCGCACTTAAGTTGTGTGATCTTGTGAAAAAAGCTATTATTTATTGCTGTCATCCACACTGGAAGTTTTGTAAGATACTGTAAATGCATGCTGCTTTTTTGTACTATTGAGATTGTGTTTTTAATGTAAGAATAAAAAGCCATTGAAAGTTACAACAGTTGATTATGTTGTCTTTGAATTCCCTTAGGCACAGGGGGTTGAGCGTGCATCTTGGGTGGGGGTAGTTTGTCTGGAGGTGTGTCCCTAGCCCAAATGTCTCTCCACCTGATCTGGGTAATAAGCAGAAGGCTGGTAGGCTCACTAACCCTGTAATTGCTTAAACATCTGTGCACTTTTACATCTTAAGCAGCCATGACACAACAGCTCAAATCATCAGTTATAATTACCACCCATATGTCTAGCTAACAAAAGAAAATAGCATGTTAAGTTCACCTTTGACATGACTTTTTGCAGCAAGATTCACTGCTGCCATTGTGTTGACCTTGTAAACCAATGTAATCTCATTGTCCAGAATAAGCAGGTCAACTTGGCCATGTCCCCAGCCCTTACAATAGAGAATAATAGCCAACACATCACATTGTCCCAGTGACACAGGCAAGTAAAATGGCAACAAATGGTTTCCAAACTGTCATCTTGACTAGATTTTGCATAGATAAAGTGTCTACTTTTTCATGTTATTGTATTGTCCACATATTCAATTAAATGGTTTTGCTGTTGAGTTGTTAGAAATATATGCATTTTTGTTTAGTTCAGTTGCCGTCATTGATGTTAATTTATCAAGCACTGCAATTTAGAGTCATTAAACAAAAGAAACACTCTTGGGTTGTAGCTTGCTTATTATCTAGTAATAGGTTTAGTCTTAGCTTACTGATGCACAATTAATCAAGGTTTTGGACTGGTACAAAAGTCCATGATAGTTAACTCTGTAAAATGCATATTGTTTAGGGTTGTGAGTTGATTGGCAACACAGCATTGTAATAAACATGTCTGCGATTTAGAGTGATTATACAAAAATATATGTAGACTTAGGTTTGATGCCCTTATTGAAACTAGCTGCTCAGTTTATCAGAGTTTGGGACTGGCACAAAATCCAGTTTACACTGTGTTTTAGCATGTAGTTTTAGATTGTGAGTTTATTGGTATTAGAGTATAGCATCATAAAATATGGTGACAAGATGTGGTTATGTGATGGTTCTGTCTGGCAGACAGTGAAGTTCAACCACACAGCCCTGCAGGAGACTAAAGGAAGCGAGCAACAATGAAGAATAAAGTGGTCAGACTGCCCCCTGTGCAACACCTGACTCGCATCTATTCAGAGTGAATTTCCATTTCTTTGCATGTTAAAAAAGGTGTGAAGTGTCCCCTATCAAGTCACAAAGTTAATGGGGCTTAGACTCTGGGCTCATACAGGGAAACAGGATAAAACACAAAAAGAGATGTATTGACTTGGAAATGATGCCGGATAATTTTAAATTACCATAGGAGGTTGGCTGTTTGAGTGAGTTGAGAAAAATAAGTACCATTTTTGCTCCCCTCACCTTTGTCCATAAAATTGATTTATTGTAGTTAGTCACCCTTTTTAGTGACATTAGACCCACAAATGTCTTATTGTCTAGTGGTAATATCAGATTACAGTGCTGGTCAATCAATAGCATGTCTCATAGATCCATAGACTTTTTATTACTAATTTTGTGTGGCAGATGATTGACAGACAGTCTCTTCACTATACAACATATGTCCCTCATAATGCTAATTTAAAGCACATATGGTTTCCCTGTCAAACTGACCTACTTTGGCAGATTTTAAGACCTGTATGTCCCTGGAGAACCGAAGGGGCACTTTCATTCATTATTAAAGGATCTTTGTCTGAGCTGAAAGCTGATCAATAATGAGCATAGCCTTGTGTGTCATCTCTGCAATCAATTTACGGATCCTAAAGGTAAATATGACTCAGAAGCCCATATGAGAGAAAAAAAACACAGTGTTTTTGTTACTGTAAAAAAAAAAAAAAAAAAAAAAAACTACAGGCATTTCTTAGATATTTCTTATCTTATTTCTTCATTGGCTACTGCATTTGGCCTAAAAAAAAAAAAAAAAAAAAAAAAAAAGAAGTATGCATTTATTTGAAAATTTAAATCACAAACTGTTTAAACAAGTTTTAATGTAAGATATATTTTAGAACATTAATAGAAGTGAATTAAGTACTGTACAAATCTGACATCCAAAAACATTATTTGCATCTTTAAAATTAAACAAAAGTGGGTATTTTGTTATTTTGAAAGGGCTTTGTTTGGTTTATTGGGTTAAAGGCCAAAGTAATTGAAGCGAACAGGAAATAGCATCTATTGGTCTGGCTATTCATTATTGTTGAGTCAAAGTGCTGTGTGTTTTTATGAGATTGTCCATTTCAGATATACAAACTCATGTGCCTATTGTTAACATAATCTAACATAAAAACCTACATTTGTGATTGATGGTTGATCTATTTTCTATCTGAGTGCCTCTCTATATAAACCTACAGTACAGTTAAATGCAGCTAGCAGTGGTTGGTTCTAGTGTTAGTTAATGGTTATGTTGTTTTGGTTGGAAAGTGAGCAGCAGGAAGGCTGTTTCCTGAGTAAGGGGCTCTTGTGGTCAACAGCCTGAGGAAAGCTTTGATGACGCCTCACTGTATTCAGCCCACTGTCATTTGCTGCTGTGCGTGGCCACCCTCGAAAAGGTCATGGCTGCCCTGGACTCACTCAGGCAAAGATGTGAAAGTCATCTCTTGAGGAGAGTTACTTGTCATGAGGATGTGCAAAACAACCCACACACAGAGACTATGCCATTTGTCCTTTTTTTTTATCATTATGTAAATCCTACTTTTATTTCTTGTTATAAAATGGAAGTCATGCATTTCCAAATTTCCCAAGGAATGTTTTATATGACAAACAATTCTTCAGCACTTACAGGCTTGCTACTATACATGTTTCTAGTAATCTAAAATGACCACATAAAGTATATTATATTTTCAAACTCAACACATTACACAAATTCTACGAGACAATATCATGAATATCGAGCTTGTTAAAAACTCGTTTAACTACGTTTTCTTAGCAGTTTCTCCCGTGGGCATACTAGGGCGGAACTATTGTCACGGAAGTGTTTCTTACCGGACCAGCGTCGTGGCGGACTCTCTTCCTCTCTCGTCCATGCTCCTGTGAACAGCTGATGACAACTTGCTACCCAGTCGTCCAGATTTTCTTTGTTTTCTCCAACAACACAGCTCGACATGATTAAAGAGGAAGTTCAGGGGTAAGGGCCTTGCAAGTTGCACCATTTGTTTTTAGTTATGACGCAGTGGTTAAAGTTTGGACAATATTCCAGCTAGACGCTAACTAGCATTACTGGAGCATGCTTCAGATTGCATCAGCTGTCACTTCAATCAGAAATGCTCAAATGTTGGTTTAGCGCGATAGTAGATTCAAATCAATGTGAGCAATGTGAGTGCAATCACGATGTCAGGAATAAATGCAATGATGAGGCTGCTAGACTAGTTGGACACTTGCAAATTAAGTTATGATTGGGCTTCAACTTTTTCAGTGTTGCCGTCAAATTTGGCCACACAAATGATTTATTGATTAGATGGTAACGCAGATACATATCAAGAATCTTAACAGGTGAACTTAACTATTTGGATACAATGCTCTTATCAATACAGTCACTACATTATAACAATAAACGTCATTAATTCTGAATTTTGGATCTAATCACAATATATAATGCTGCAATACTGAATATGTTTTATTTTCATTGTGTGTGTGTGTTTTTTTGTTTTTTTTTAACACTTCCTTGTTATCCACAAGGGTAATTGCGACTTGACAGGTCTTGTTGACTTGGCTAGAGGCCTGTCAAAATAACAGTGCAGGATTGGCATCACGTCATTTCTTTAGATTTGTAGTGATCAAAACAATTAAATCCTTCTTAATTTATTACTATGTAATACAATATAATCCTACCAGTGCAGTGCTGGCTGTATCCATGTTTTAATTACTATTTGTCCAAGTTGCACAGTGTTCAACAGGATTTCTCTTACAGAAACAAATAATTGTTTTGGTCATATCTATTATCTTTTTATATTAATGTTTTAATAGCACTGCTGGTAAATGTGAAAGTTTACCAGACAGTACAGACAGAATTTGTAGACCCTACTAGGTAACTGACAGATTTGTTGACACAGGTAGAGCCAGTTTGCTTTTAGCTTTAGGTGAAAAGTTCAGGCTTCCTGCATTCACCTGAGCAGTGAGGTATAATAATTTGCTGTTAGCAAATTAGCGTGTATTTAAGTTGGATGAAACCACAGCCACCAGTGTCTAGGTAAACAGGTTTGACTGTAAGATTGATAACATTATGGGGATGACAAACCTCTTACTATAGACCAAATTGCTGTTGAACAAACCCGGCAGGTTGGCCAAAGATTCTTAATCTTTATATATCCCTAAAGATTACCAATAAAATACAAACTAAAGAAATGTTGCTGTCTTTTGATTGTACTATGCATAGTTTTGGGGCATTTAACAGCTGTAATATTGCAAGACTTGAGATTAATTGATTTTATATTAATATTGTGTAGTAAATGTGTTTCAATTAAGGCAACAGTAAATTAAACATTTGGTCATAAAAGCAAATGTCACTAATTGCCATTATGTTGCTAAACTACAGTAGTAACTAGTTATTATTCTGTGGTTTCATTCAAGTACATAATCTTTGCATCTTAGATTTTGTGGTTCAAATTTTAAAAAGAAAAAAATACAATACAATATCTTTTTTTTTTTATGTTGACTGAGGTAAAAAATTTAGTCTGAAATTCCACTTGGGATGTCAGGGAAAGGGCAGTGGTATACTTCAGGATTTTTGCTCCTGATTTAAACTGGCCATTTACTGCTTGCCTCTGGACCTTGACGTTTCCTGTCTGACTAAACAGCAGCCGTTTCCAATATTGCTTCCAGGCTTTCTTGGTCTAGACACCTGGGAAAGTAAGGGGCATTTATTCATTCACCTGGAGACTCCCAGCTCAGTTTTATAGCTACGTCAATTGGAGAAGTGCAAAGTTCACATTTAATATTACGGTGTGGAACAGTGAACCGGTTTATTGTAACTTATCTGTTATAGTCTCATGGGTATAAACCATGGGTACACTACTTTCACTGATAAGGCAAACTAAATCAACAGTTAACAGTTTACACTTTAGAGAACAGAGAGAAAAGCAAACATATTTTAATATTTAATTTTTAACCCTTGTTATGTAGATTTCTTTCTCTATACCCATCAACCAAAAATGGCTTGTTAGATTAATTGGTATCTGAAAAACTGCATAGTGAGATCGAATGATTTTCTGACTGACTGGATCTGTGCTGGCATCTCAATCATGTCCCTGATTTACCCCACCTATGGCCCATAGTTGCTTAGATACGTTCATTCTACCAAACTGCAATCAGCCAAAGATGAACATATAATAGATGTGAGGCTTATCATGGCAGTATTGTATGTACAGTGTGATGGCACATTTCAATAAAAGTAAAGCTCTCAAATTTGAGATAAGACTAATGTTGTCATAATGGGATAACTCTATTCTTCCCTGCTTCTTAAACAGTTTAGAAAGCACTCGTGAGACCACTGTTTTCTTAAGGTTTATCAGACCCATCTTGTTTTCATCATCTCTGCTTTTAGCTGCCTGTCTAAGCCCCTCCATTCACAAACCACATTTGTTTTGTTGTGGCCAAAACAATGGCTTTAAAGTTAGATCTAGACTTTAAAAGCTTGAGGTGGCAATGACTTCTCCCAAATTAATTTTCCCAGACGGCCAACAACTTCCTCCGGGGGGATGCAGGAGAAATAGTAGCTGGAAGTTGACTTAAATGTTTATGTTGTGCTTGCCTTCCTGCGCAGGGCGACGGAGGAGGAGCAGCAGCAGGCCCAGTCAAAGAAAGCGCTCAAGAAACAGCAGAAGGAAGCGGAGAAAGCGGCGAAGAAGGCTGAGAAACAGGCCAAGCAGGTCAGTGGGTTTTGGGTTTGTTGTCTCACATCCGGTGCCCCCTTACAGCTGCTATTGACATGCAGCCCAGACTGTTCATTGCACGTTTGTAAGGTTTAGCAGACAGCGGGAGGGCTACTGAAAGCCATTGTCTAAGTATTCCTGTCATTTTAAGCTTGTTTATGTTAGCCAAAACAAAGTGCTATTTTCTTCCAACTTAACAACATAGATAGGCCAACAATCCCCCTTCTCCAATTGGTATTTGTATTTGAACAATAGTAGTGAGATTGTTATGCCTTGGAGCATATTCTGAATGACGTGTGCCACTGCCCGTGCCCTTTTGTGTACTTTGAACAAAATGTGTCATCTACCTCAACTTGTCTTAGTATCACCCAACACTAATCCCCAGCTGTACAAATGATCTGCCATGACTCAAGCAGCCTTTATGGGAAAAAGGTAATATATCTTTTGGGAAGACTTGCCCTGTCCACCTACAGCTCTGGAAAAACGGTAGATTGCTGCCAAAAGTGTTTGTTTATTGTAGCCTACTGTCTAACTAAAACAAATAAAAATGACTTCCAATATTAATTTCCTCATCTTAAATAATACATAGTTAATCATACCCATTTGACACAAAATCAAACCTCCAAAGTCTGAGTTTTACTTGTTTTTACTGGTAGAAAATGGGTTGTAAACCTCTCAATTCAAAAGACCTACGCATATTATTGATGGTTATAAATAAATTAATGTATGTATATTTTTTAAGTGATTTATTTATGACTTGACTTGACTTGACCTGACTTCACCTGACTTGACAGGGACATTGCACAATAAAGGTATTGCAAAGACCAGATTTAGCTACAAACTAATTTTTATCTTTCCCCCCTGGGCAGAGGCAAAGTGACAGCAGGTAACAGTGTGCAGATACTTCATAAAATGGCGCATGTAACATTTAAAATACAGCAAAAACAAATATTTCCATTAAAGTTGTATTAATTTTACAGCCATGCTTTAAGGGAATACATGGAAAATATAAACATTCAAAAGTTTGATTGTGTAAATTGTAATGTTTTGGTAATACAACTCTTCCCTATTCTTTGTTTAATGATCTGTGAACTCATAAAACAGAATATGAAGAAGAATATGAATATGAAGAAGAATATGAGACCTTTGTGGAATTTAAAAGACACTGGGATGGTTGTCCGACTATCATCCCCAGGAATGGCTGACAGAAGAATAAATGAAAATGGTCCTTTTATTTTTTCCAGAGATGTATTTCAAAGGCAAATGATACAAGTGCATTCTCATCCCGTATCACTAGATTTTCTTAAAGTCTTAATAGCTAAGATGAATATTATGGAGTATTCCCTACATTATTTTGACACTCGGCAGCGATAAGACCCCCTATATTCAGTTCATCATAAAGCACATCATCAATCATATGACAGATTATCTTATCAAGGATGGGCGAGTCTCAATTGACTCAGCTCCCACCAACCGTCTCCACGCACCCGAATCCTTTTTGCATAGAAAATGGAATTGTAACTTCGCCAAGACACAGACAGTAATTTGGCTAGAAGTTGGTATGAAGATAAAATATGTCTCTCCACTTGTGCAGCTTCTGTTTCAAAGCAATATGCCGTGCTGCCATTACTTATTGTTTGAGATGTGTTGATGTATTATGCATAATGAACAAAACATAATATTTTCTGCCATGCTATGAGTTTATTCAGTTTTTGTTACGATATTAGGTGTTTTCAAGAGTTCATATAAACTTTCTATTGGTATTGGTATTCATATTCATATTGATCGATCACAGTTTTTGATTGAATTCTATTTTGTCTGTTTAAAGACAAATGAAAAATGGCTTTCAGTATGAATTTCCTTTACATAAGCGATACGTTTTTACATTTGACATAAAATTATTGTCAAATCTACTCCCCCAATGTCTGAAATACACCACATTACATACTTTGACTGAACTGTTGGCTCTAGAACACTTGATTATAAAACCCAATAATATCACGATTACACATGACTCAATCTGTTTTCATTAAGATTCAATTAAATTCCCATCCCAACATTGTATTAGTGATTTCATTTTATAACCTGTGAATATATGGACAATGAAGGGATTTTATTTTGCCATATTTCCCTATTCTGGTTTTATGCTCTCAACAAAGTTAGTTGTTTTGTCTTATAAACAATGCTTCTCTTCCTTTTATTTTTCAGGCTGCCGATCAACAAACCACAGAGGAAGATGTAAGTGTTCCCAATAGGATCAGAGCCTTATCCTCCTAAAGCCATTTCTGCTGCCTTACTGTCCGTCGGATTCCTTCACTGTCTTCACACCTCTGCAACTGTCTGTTTGAAAGTGCCTGCATGCGCTTTTGTTTCACAATTTGCACAAGTACAGTTAGATAACCCTCCATCTATCTGTTATTATCTCAAAATGTAGACATAATGACGCTTTGAATAATGATAATAATAGTTTTTGTAATTGATGTGCTACTAAGAGTTTGTTTTCTTTTAGGACTTTGCCAAGGATCGTTATGGTGTGTCTGCGATGCTTCAGTCTCAACAAAAACTGAGTGAGTATTGCAACTATTTTCTTTTATCAGCAGCCAATATGCACAAAATACCACGCAGAGTTTATGGAGGACATTGCGTCTCCATTACTGACCTATTGTGATGGGGTTAACAGACGTCACAGCTGTAGACTATTTGGCCCAACTCTGTCTGATGCAAATTGGAGCCTTTACATAAGAACAATACAAAGTGGTAATGTTTTTCCAGAAAGAGGTCAGATGCTGCGCCCGCACCTCACCCACAGGTGATTCAGAATGAGCTGTTCAAAACTGTTTTGATTTAGCATTTTTTTAAGGATTTTTCTATAAATTGAATGCAGTTGGAGCGCACTTGTTTTTATGGTTATGTAATATCAAACAGAAATGCAATGCAGAGCAAGTATGGGCTTAGGTCAATGATAATTTGTCAAGTGTTGAAATGGCACAGAACATTTAAGTAAATAGAAAACATTTAGAAACAAACTATATATCTGAAGAGATTTCAAATGCTATTATTTGTGTTTTAATCTGTAGAAAGCTGGTGAATTTCAGGCCTCAAATACCATTGCGTTGCTCTCAGGCTTGGTTTCATACTGCTATTCGTAAACAGTATCTGAAATTTGTACTAATGTAAGTATTAGCATTATCCTAGCCATCCCTGTGGTTTAAGTCAAATTAGAAATGAAAATTACAGTAAATTTATTCAACAAAGACATCGTGGTTTCCAGAGCATATTAATTTGTAGAAACTAAAAACCAATTGCAAAACAACATATTGAGAATAAGGAATCATCAATTGTCCTGCATTCAGATCTTATGGTATATCTATGAATTACATGAAGTCACTTGAGCTACCACAAGAAATTTACATGAAGAATCAAACACTAACACGTTGAATAAACACGATTACAAATGACGCCACGCTTCTGATCTGCTCCGATTACCTCTGAACAGTTGCCAAAAATGTACAGCGATAACACACACCTCCTCCATCATCACACCTGTGTACGTGCTAATACTGTGAGTCCCTTTTTATTTCATGGTGTTTCTGACTGATAACTATGTGAGTAATAGTTCATGATAACGGGCAGACAGAAGACGTCCCTATGTCTGGCGTCTTTTTCAGCTTCATTGGCTACAAACAAAGTGCCCTCTACTTTTTTACCTGCATGGATTTTTCAGTTATGGGGAAGAAGAAGCTAGCAGAGTGTCGGCTAGTGGCTTTCATGTGGGCTGATAGACAGTAAGGATAGCTCTGTTACCACACTGTAGCCATCGTGTCTGCCTCCCTCTCCTAGTTCGTAACAAAGGGGGCTAAAGCATGCCTTTGACTGACACAGGCGAAACTAGAGTCAATTTGTCATGAAATCCAAAGAGAATAGGAGTTGGACAGGTTTTCAGCAGCCCTCCTAGTGTGTCTTATTTATTGTGGGGCCCCTGTAATTTGAGTATTTTATTGTGCATTTGTCTACATGTAGAAGCTTGCGTGTTCACATTTCTTTTGCCTGTGGGCGACTGCAGTGAAATGGCCTTGTATATTATTTGCAGTGAGGCAGAAAATGGAGGATGTGTGATGTAGATGAAGAATTGTTTGGTAACTATTGTATAACTCATCACCACTGTTAAGTGTAAACTTGCAAAGAGTGGGTGGAGGGGACACATGCTCTCGCAACAGCAGCTCTACAATGCCCTCCTGCCTGACTTGAAGCACCTTGACTGTCCTCACACAGTCTTTAGAAGGGGCTCTTATTTTGTTAATGACAAAAAAAATGCATGTTTCTAGAACTTTTATATTTTATGGGGAAGCATCTTTTTGTTTTGTGATATGTTTCACAACTTCAGCAGATACAAATACATTTCTGTATCTTTGTTTCACATGTGCTTGTTCATCTTGGTTAAGAAAAATATGCATGATGTGGGCCTATTGATTTCTTGATCCATGTATGCTATTCTTTTATAAGTTTCATGTGTCATTTTTATGGTTTATTTGTTCAAACTGAACTTATGCAAAGTTATTTCTCTCTGTACCTGAAAAAGACAGAGCACTGGTGAAAGTGCAAGACCTGACTGTGGAGAAGGCTGATCAGCTCCTGTGGGTCCGAGCTCGAGTCCACACCAGCAGAGCTAAAGGTGAGATCACCACCTCATGGCTAAATCTTTATCATTGCTACATCTTTGTGTAAGAATAAAACCACTAACTGTATTCGACCTCTGACCTCCTCGGTGGACCTCCATGAATACAGGTTACACCCTTGGGCCAGTTCTTCACAGTACTCTCCAAACTGTTATCCTAACTGCTGTTTTTGACCTCTGCCTTGAGAATTCCTATGACCTTGTCTGCTCCAAACAGACTAGCAGTTAAGATTGTGATCTCTTGTGATTTAACACAAACAAACATGAAGGTACAACCGTATGTTATATTAACAGGGAAATCTGTGATCAAAGCACAATGTCACAATATGCACTGCAATATACCAATGATCAACAGAGCTATAGTCTGAGGTTTATCTCAAATGTATAGTACCTTGATCAAACGTTAAACAGTCTATAGTACAGACTCCTTACGTTCAACTACAAAATGCCATTCCAAGAGACTGACATTGCTATTGAACAAATGATCATCCTTTTAGCTACTGCAGATAGTATTTTTGTTCTCTATCTCAAAAACCTTACTTATCAATTATGAATTCCCAACCATAACTGAAAAGAGTTGTAAACATTATTACCCAAATTAATTAATTAAAACACCTTTGTAGTTATAGGCCATTTCACTATGTTTTTGTATATCATCAAAACGCTTATTTTGGCATGATTTTGTCTCTAGTACATCCCACTCATAGCTTCACTGTGCAAGCAATAGACACTTGCATGGCAGATTTCCACCTCCCTCTCAGTTAAACAGTGTGAAGACCTAGGGGTGCCTCTGATATTATTGTAAGAAAAGCATGTCACTGCCAACTGTGAGATCAGATAACCTCTATTTACTGAGTTCCAGCTACTGGCAGTGATGTGCCTGCTCCACTTCCACACAATAGACTGGCTCTTCTCATTATTACTTCTCAGAGTGTAACCCGGACCCTTTTTGCTCAGGCTGTTATGAATAAACAGATATCAGTGGTGAGCTTGTTTCCAGGGAATATCAATATGGATGTATTTGATGTTGATGTGTCTAGTATTGAAATGTCCCAAAGACCAAATGTATTGTTTACAGTGGAAAAACCTACTGGTGCGACTTATATATTGAATCCAAGTAAAGTTGCTTGCCATGCAAAACAAACAAATTTAACTGAACATTTGTATGCTATACCATACAAAGGCATAGGAGTATGGTTGTTAAAAATCATTGTCATTACCCTGACAACTAGAACTAGTATCAACATATGAATCTGAATAAGTGTCAATGAAAAAAAAATCATGTAAATAGGACAGTTCTTGAATATTTTAGAAGGATCTTGATCTATATCGGCGCTAGTATAAAACCTAACCTATAACAATAAAGAAATTACTGTTTTTTTAGTGTTAAAAATTACATTCTATTGTATAAGAAAAATGTTTTTTCCTAGCATGAGAATTGAGTTTGGAATTTGGTCTGCACCAATCAATTTGGTGGAGATAATTTGCTGCTGTGCCACTAGATCAAAAAAATGTAAAAATAATTGACAAATTGCTGGTATTGGTACAGTTTATTTTATTCCCCTAACTTCTTTTCTTAAAATATTTATGCAGTGCTTAACAACATAATTGGGTAAATGGTAAAATAAACCATTATATTGCAGTTGTTATTCCCTGTGGTTGTAGAAAAGTCTATGAGCATGACAACATCCTGATAGTTTGTTATGAAGTGTATCTGTTGATGGGATTTTGACAATTCTTTCGTCCCATGCACTGTCCACCCCCCTCTTTCTCACACACATCAAAGTCCCTGGGTGGTCTCACTGTCTCGAGCCCAAGTTTGTGTTGGCTAGCATGTTTACACTGTTCACAGGTGTGTGTTTGTTAGGAAGGTAGCAATCAGCTTTTTCCAAACTCATTGTTCTTCAAAGTGGAGGTCCATTATCCACTGACTGACAATGTTCAAGAGAAAAGAGGTTCACATAACAGAATTTAGAGCAGTGATGCAAAGACTGCTGAGAATTAGACACTGTGTTAATGTTAATTTACCATCAGTACAGGGTTCAGCATCTGGAGATATGAATAGTGTTGGCCATTCTCATCTAGTTCAGTCCAGTTGTAGGGAGTATTATACCTCTGATGACAGGGACTGAGCAGGGAGTCAATGCCCTAGATACAGCACAAAAATAGAATTTCTCTAACACTGATCCAGAACAGGGCCAGTCAGGAATCAGGGCTGAACAAAAACCATCCAGTATATTGAAAAAACTAAAGCCAGGCTTGATTTAAAAAAAAAAAAAAAACTGGTCGAGGTCAGGCAATGATCAGAATTTCAATTGCAGAAGTGGGTTTTAGTGTACAAAAGTCAACAAAAATCAGACTAAACCGCAAATAAGTACTTTCAAGGTCAACATTCAATTAAGTGGACTAAAGCCACAGAGTTTAAATTCAGTTCAGTTTATTTGCCGTATGCCGGATAAAACCACATTGAAAAGAGTGTCTAGATACACAACTGCACAACTTTCATACAGAGCAAATAGGCATATATAAATACTGAAAGGCAAGCTAGTATTTTAGAACTACATCAGCATGGGAAAGGGCTGCTTTTGTTATCATTACACAATCTGCTACCAACTATCTCCTCACCACATTTCGAGAACCCCTACTTTAGACCAAACCATCAAAGATCATCTCCCAGTGTCCAGCCTTGTAAAGCCCAAGTCTCAACTGCCTGCTGCTTACATGAGTGGGTTTTGTGTTTACAGGGAAGCAATGCTTCTTGGTCCTGCGTCAACAACAGTTCAACGTGCAGGCTTTGGTCGCAGTGGGAGACCGTGCCAGCAAGCAGATGGTCAAGTTTGCTGCAAAGTGAGTAAAGAGTTTTTCACTTCCTGTCAAAGAGGGCAAAACAATGGTGGGAAAATCCTGGGCTTTAAAATCATCAGTAGCTCCTATTTTCACACATGAGTAGCCAGGCGGAGGACGGAGGCATCAATCATTTTACACATTACAACAAAAGCGGGCTGGTTGAGGGCGGGGTAGCACACTCGGGCACGTTAATGCAGAAGTTCCTGTAGAGATGGAAGATATGGCCGCTCCAATAAGATGAGGAAGAAATGCTCAAGAGCCAAACATCATCAGTCATCTTAGCAGCCAAATCTTAGTCCATTACTGGAAGTGTGTGAATGAACACAAATGAAGGGGGATGCTTTAGGTGGATAGCAAGCTGTGATTTGAATAATGTCTTGGATCATGGGGCTGTCAAAGTTTTCTGAATCGGGAGAAGCCTGATTGTCTCAAGTTTAATCAATGTATTGCCTCCTTGAACAATATAAAGGGCCTATATTATGTTATTTTCTGATTCATGTTATACTGTTGTTTCCTCATCAAAAGACATCCCCGGAGTTGTGTTTTGTTTCATTTTTAACACACAAACTAAACTAAAGGTAAAAGGTAGCTGTTAATTTGAAAACTAGCATTACATAACATCACAAGGTGGAACAGAGCATTTTCAGTTTTACATATAAAAGGTTACTTCAACATGTGTGAATAAAACAAAAACACAACTCCGTATGGTTTTGAGGAGGTAACAATATTCTAACGTGGCATAAAGTATTGTGTAATACAGGACCCTTTTTAAAATTCTTTAGAGAGAGATTAGATTAGATTAGAAAACTTTATTTATCCCCAAGGGGTAATTCTGTTTGCAGTCACAGACTACATAAAAAGCACACACATACATTCCACACAGGTCAGTTGCTCGTACAATTATGGGCATCAGAGCTGAGCATTAGTGCAAATGAGGCATAAAGTGCAAATGTAACATAAGGTGCAAACGCCAGATACAAAACAGAACAACAACTTCAGAACAGTAAACAAAGGATAAAAAAGGTACTTGGCTGAGCCTATTTCACCTCTCTAGCACACTATTAGAACTTGTATAGTAATTATTAATCTAGTTTGAAATCATATTATGGTAAAATTATACTTAATCACAACTTAACAATAATAAATGTCAGAGGAGCTAGCCATATGAGTGTTAATGGTACTAAAAATACTGAACAGTAGTGAGAATGTTGCATGTGTATTTCACATGCGCTTATGCCAATTATAAATAAATTATCCATACATAGTCACATGTATTATATGGATAAAATCTGAGTTTGTAATTGCAGGTGCACAATTATAATACACAATTATGTATTATATTTGGAAAGATTTTTTTAAGCAACTTTAATTATTGTGAAGCTCTCATGCTGCTGCAGATGCTTCCAAGTGAAGTGCTGGCAAACGCCCACAACTGCAAGACGAGAAAGTGTAGAAATGAAGACCCAAGTTTGGGAACAAGCTGCTGTGTAGATGAAGTGCCTCCAGAGGGCTATAGCATGTCATTCTCTCCAAGAATTTAAATCGCAGCTGACAAAAGCCATCATAACTCACTGTAAAAACTGAGCGCGTCAGTCAGTATTTGAAATGTGTCAGACTCCATCACAGTTTTACTCTACGACATCATCCACTGCACACAAGTGACTGAGGGCTCATGGGGACACAGCTCAAAACTCGCTTAGCTTTAATTAACTGTGCCTGATTTTTTTGGTATAAGTTTTTTCACCCCATGGCATAATATGTCAGAATTTTCACCATCTAATAGGAGTTTTAAGAATAACTTTAATTCAGTTTATTCCTCACCTATTTGTAATATTCATTTTTGTGTGTGCCCATTGGTTTAATAGTGGTTCATAAATAATACTAAACAACATTTCATTGTAAATAAAAATTCTTCCTTATACAACCACATAAATTGAACCAAAAAAGTTCCCATCAGTATACACTTTGTGCTTATCACTGCATAAGTGAGAGTGATATATAATTGTATGTGAAGTCAGCATAGACCCTTTGGTGCTGGGTTGACCGTTGATTTTCTACAGCAGAGAACAATTTGGATAGCCATTTAAGGAAAGCCGTACAATATATGAACATTCATTCTTAGAGTGCTGTGATGTATTATTCTAACAATCTGTGTTAAATACGTCCTTCAATCTTGTAGAAGAAAAAAGACATTTCTTATAATCTATATCTCTACATAAGAAGCACAAGGTCCTAATGGATCTAAATAATGAATTGTTTATTTACAAAGCTGTCATAATAACATGTAAAGAACTCTGAGCTGCTAAATGATTAATGGTGAATAGATTCTGCATAAATTACCATTTTAAACATATTATAATTATTCACTTGTAGAGTTTCACTGCATGTATGTGTTTTGTTTGTTATAAGCAACATGAAAACATACAAAGTTATATTTATTTTTTTCCTAATGAGCCCAAGGTCGGCGTAGCTTTGACCTGTATGTTGACCCAGCAGCATGAGCACAATGACCCCTCTCTGTTCCAAGTGTCAGATCCCCCTGGCCGCATTACGTTCCTCTGACCTCCTCAACGCTCATTCAAATTCAGTGCCCATTTCCCTCACCACTTTGTAGCTTTAAAATAATGCAGCAAAAGGCAGGCCACCAGAATGTAAAACGTGTGTATGTATACCACTCCTACTATAGAGACCTATGCTTGGACACCACACGCATTTCAATATATCTGCTCTTATGAGAGTTCACTTATTATAGGCTTGCTTGCCAGTTCCTCAATTTAGTTTTGCAATTGGGTTTTCGTTAGTCTTTTGTAACAGTTCAAAGATTCAAAATGAATATGCAGCACTGCGCAGAAATTGAAAGCAGACATTGAAGAACTAAATGTCTTTTTACAAGCTAAATTTCCGCTTCAAATTACTAAAAAGTTAAGTGCTCAAACTTAGACTAATTTTGATCATATACTTGTATAATTATTATATGCTCATTGTTTATTATTATTTTATAATTATATTTCACAGGCTTAATGCTCTTTTCCAAATCATTATATAATTATTAGGTTTTCCTTTAGTGTTCAAAGAAGTATGTGAATCCATTCCCAAAATGTGTAATTTTGTGTTAATTACCGATCAAAACAAAAATGAAATAAAAAAAAAAATTGTAAATAGTTTGAGAAGATATTCAAATTGACACACTGATTACTTGGTAGTAATAGTAGGAGTGGTAGCAGCCACACAATGTTCTTGCATAAAAAAAACCTTAACTGCAAAGTCACCCTGCCTCAGAATAGTTCTCACTAACCATTTTCTCCTGCTCTGTTTGTATGGAGCAGTTGACTTTAGCCTCATGAAGTGTCTCTACTGCAGCTCTCTCCCACTTGCACATAGTGTGGCATTGGTGATTGACAAGTCATGTAAGACCAGGATTACAAGCAAAGCCCCTCATAATCATGCCCAGGGCAGAGATGATATGGCCGCTTCATTCTCTGTTCACACAGAAAAAGTCCAAGTCACTCACACTCTTTAATTAAGAGCTCTTCAGATCAACCCCTCTAGAACTTGAGACCTCAAAGTGCTGAGGGATTGATGAACACAACTGTGAATGGTGTATTCATAAGGGACAGGTGACAGGGTTAGGTTTCAGTTATTAAATCATATGAAATTGTAGCTTTACAATTAGAATAGACATTACATTAGAATATGTAAATGCTGATTAGGGTTGGGTAATATGGAAATCATTTGGGTTAGGGTTTAGGGTTAGGGTTTAGTGTTTAGGGTTGGGGTTAGGGTTAGCTAACCCTAACCCAAATATCAAAATAGATCAATCACTATTTTCAATTCAATTCTATTTTTTCTTTTTAAAACATATGAAATTGCTTTCTATATAAATTTTCTAAATGAAATGATAGACTTTCTCATTTTCTTTTTTTACCAAAAAAAATGCCAAATTTCTTCCTCCAAAGTCTGAACTCTGATGTAGACTCAATAAAATAGGCACAAACACTTCTTTGATAATTAGAAATGACTGAATCTCAAACTCTAGTGAAATTCATTTCAGTCCACAAGGGTAATGCTGATATTAAATAACTTCACATATTTTTCACATTTCATGGAGTTTGGGTTAGTGCTACATGGCCTGCTCATATCCCTCTGTTCTATGTAATTTAATTTACTCTGAAGTATTGAAGCTAGTTTGACAACGTCTGGTCAAGATGTACCAGACAGGGGTTAATGTAGCCCTTTAATTCACTGTAGTAATTGATATGGTGCAGATTTGTTTCTCTATGCTGTGGAAGAATTTCTTTAGACCACTAACTTCAAATGTACCTTGCTTGTATATTATTTCTACTCCTTTTCACCAAATATATTTATTTCCTTCCATACTCTACTGTTCCTCCTGTGTTAATCAGTTCATCAGTATCCTTGCCTCTGAGTGGTGGATGTCTTGTTACCAGCCCCAGAGTGTACAGCATTAGCAGTGGCTCCATTTATCCAGCTGATCTCATGCTATGAAGGGCTGACCAGGGCGGCAGCTGCTGGGGACTAGAGGGACAGCACTAGACCAGTGTAGAGTCCCTCATTATGGTTTTTAATGAGGCCAACTGAAGGATTACAGCGTGTTCCCATCTGCCTGTGTCATGCTAACAGTGGGTCAAGTCCTCCAGTATGACATGATGCTGTGAGGGACGACACAAGGGAGATGGGTGGGTTGAATAGACTAGAAAAGTAAATGGTATCATCCAGCACTCAAAGAAAACTAAAGCGTATTAACCCAAAGTAACTGTTTGCAATGTCTGATTTCATGCTTTTCATTTTTATAAAAATTACTGGAGGGAAGTTAAGAACTTTCCATTCTTTTTTCAGCAGGGGTTTTTCTGGTAACTTTTCATGGGGATTTTATTTCTTTGCTTTGCATTATTAAATTTCACCTCTCCACTGATCTGACTGTAACTTGTCCTGGTTGTGTTAACTGCATTTTTTTATGGAGAAAGGAGATATGCTCTACCAAAAAATGTACATAGTGCACCAAAATTGTATATAGCTACTACCCATATTACTACCCACAGATTGAGCTGTGATGTCCACCGGAGAGCTTATCTGGGGCTAGGAGTTACTATGTGTCTAGCTCAGGTTGTTCCTAACAGTAGCTGTGAATGTGTAAAACTGTTTGTATTACGCAACAAGCAGGCAACCATACCACCCAACGCATGCTTATGTACCACTGCGTAACATTGTGGGCTTCCAACATCCTTACACTTGAACTGTATTATGAAAGCAGAGTTTGCTTAAAGCCCAGGTGTGTATTTTAAGTCAAAAATAAATTAGCAGGTGTCCTTACTGTGAGCAGGCTTGCAACTCCATAAAACGGACTCTTATTTGGCTTAGACTGGGTGGAAATCTGCTTGTCTCTATGGAAATTATGTTCTCTAGTGACAATATTCCACTGTAGAGCCTAAAATCCTGTCTATGTCCATGGAGAATGTTGCTTGGTTTTAACCTTCGATTTTCCATGGAATCCTGCAAGCAACACAGTAACTTTCTAAAGTTAAGGTTGTTAGCAGTAGTTCTTCTTTTAAAAAGACAAAGCTAACAAAATTAAAATTATGATAGTTGTTTTTTTGTTGTTTTTAATCATGCAAAAAGCTGTGAATAAAGAATTACATTTTTAATTGCTCAAGAAACTTGCTCTTGCTAATTTCAAACTTCACAGAAACAGATGTTTTTCAGTTGGACATATAACCACAAGTTTATTCCAAATTTGCCATAGCCCCCTGCTCCAGTTTGCAGCAGCTACATTCAAAGACCTTTTTGATCATTGGAAACATAAAACACAACTGTCAGCCCACCCAGTAGCGCACATCACTCCCACATATATCATAGGATGTCTTCTCATCTCATGGGAAAAAAACACATTGTCCATAGGCATCACTTTATAAATCATTGTTGTTGATCACGAACCCTCCCACGTTGCTGAGTTTGTTTGTAAAGTCCCAGGCATCGTTTACCCTTTGCCTTTGTGCTTGTCTCCTGCAGCATCACGAAGGAAAGCATTGTGGACGTGGAGGCGGTGGTGCGCAGAGTGGAGCAGAAGATTGAGAGTTGTTCCCAGCAGGATGTAGAGCTGCACATCGAGAGGGTGGGGAAGCTCTTTTTTACTGGAGTCATTGAACGTAACACAAACGCGCACGCACAGAGAGAAGCATGTAAACCTGCAGTGTCCTTTGTGCATAACAGATGAGACATACATTTGAAAGAAGATGTATGAAGCATCTTGTATCTTATTTCTTCATGAAATAGAAAAGAGTGACAGATCCCAGGACTACACTGTTGCATTTAACTGTCACTCAATGCAATTCAAAGTGGAAAGATATTTGTTATTGCCTATATAGTGAAACATTTTTGGGGTACTAGTGTTTTTTACTGAATAAGATAGCCAGAAAAAAAGGGAAAAAAATATTGAAAGTAAGACATACTCAACAAAAAGTCAACATTTTTGCATTACTGTGTGCTCTCAATTATGTATAAAAATTCACAGTTATTAGTACCTCTATATATTATTCAGGTTTCAGCGAGTTTACAGTTAAATCTATAAAAGCCATAATGTGTCAAGCAGTGTTTTTTATAGGCAATGCAAGACAAGGCAAGTTTATTTGTATAGCACAATTCATACACAAAGTAATTCAAAGTCCTTTACACAATAAGAAATACATAAAACTCACAATACAAACAAATCAAAACATAAATAATCACCATAAAATTAAAAAAGAGTGATGGAGAGAGGCATTAAATGAGAGAGTGCAGAATAAAAACCTTTCAGTCATATGCACCGCTAAATAGAACCGTTTTGAGCCTGGATTTAAACAGAGTCAAAGTGTAATGTACTGCAAAATATTACAGGCAAAGTGCATTAAAGCAAAGACACATTTTTAATTAAACTCTTAAGAATATCTGGTTGGTCTCTTTGTTAGTGCATAAATCAAAGTTATTATCTGTTATTATAGATAAAGACACATAACTACATGCCAACAAATGCACTATATATCTCTTCAACAAGCCCAGATAAAGTTTTAACAGATATCCCATTAGGTTTGGCTTCAATCTGTGCATATGTATTCAGGGTACTTTCCACTGTTGCTGATATTAGGACTGTAGGGGAGTTTGACACAATGTGAATCTTAATGCTCTTTGTTACTCTGCTCCAGATTTTCGTCATTAGCCAGGCCGAGCCACGTCTGCCCCTGCAGCTGGATGATGCGGTGAGGCCCGATGGAGAAGGCGAGGAGGTAAGCCCGCTGCCAGTGAGGGGGTCATGGGAAGTGCATTTCAGCTCCGAGCACAGAGCAACAGCCAAGGCAGTGTCAGCTTCCACTACGCCTTCAACTGTTTGGCGTTAACATGACAACTTATAGGAGTGGCATCAGCTCCTGCTCTTTTTGTAAAATAGGTGCACTATAAGATTTCTGCTAGGCTGGTCCAAGTGTGTGTATTCCTGCACAAAAACAGAAACATCTTGTGTCTTAAAGGCGCACTATGTAACTTTTCTAGTTGAATGGTCCAGTGGGAGTTTGTCTGCCTGGAGATTTTACTGTTTTTCCTGGAATATTTTGCAGTATAGCATTACACTTCTTCTTTCTTATAAATATATAAATATATCAGTTCTTCGGTTTTGGATTTGCCCGTTTTTCTCACACGACTCTTACCAAGTAACAGCTTTCTTGATGAGGAGTAATTTTGTGTCATTTGCTTCGTCTTTTGATGGTCATGACGTTATGTCAAAAGTTTAGTTTCTGCAAAGGTGGTCTCTGTCCTATGATGAAAAAAGAAACATACTTAATGACATAAAGACCAGTTTTGGTGGACAGAAAAGCACTATACTTTACCTGAAACTGATTTGTCAGGTTCTTGCTTTTCAACTATTCTCCAATTTAAACTATTACCTTACCTTGTGTGACTTGCTTTACTCTGTGCACAATGTGAATTCACTGCTACTGTTTATAATGGGCACCTGAGATGAGCAGCCCTCTGAATTACAAAAAGGAGTTTTTGCATCATTGCTGAATGTTCACAGGCTAATTTGAAGCTCTTATAATCCCATTATCTTTCCACCGCCTCCTCAGTCTATATGCGCTATCAATATATCAATAGATTAAGATATTACAGTTACGACAGTGTGCGTGTGTATTTTAAAGCAAAGTTTAATGAAAAGGTTTATAGATTCAGTAATTAAATACTAAATAAGTATTATTTCTTATGCAGTCATTTCATTTTTTAATTTACCCATTGTTATGTGTGTCTCTTACTATTTTAACATCATTTTGTCACTAATATAATGATAATATATTTTTTCCTATGAACGTTAAATAAGCACTCATATGGTAAACCGGTATAAGCAAGAGGAATTGTGGTACAGTTTAAATATGTATATTTGTGAGATACTGGTGGGTGTTTTCTAGGCAGTATTAAAATGCATATATTAGAGTTTGTTTGTTCCGCTGGGAGTGTGAAAGCAAATGCCACAGATCGCCTTTTGAATAAATAGTTAATGTTGTAATATTGCCTTATTTTACTATTCTAAGGGAAGTAAATGTTATCTATATTTTAACAATGTATTTTTTGGACATATGATAAACTAGAATAGCACAAAATCAACATTATTTAATTTCAGTATAGTTAAAGGACCTGTATTACACAACCATGTTATAAGACATGTTATAATGCTGTTACATTCTCAAAAACATGGACAGAGTTGAATTTTGTTTCATTCACACATTTGAGCAACTCTTCATTATCTTACTTTATTGTTTGTCTACATCTCCCAAACTCAAAATGCTCTCCCTTATGATGTCATGTAGTGGTAGCTTTCAAGTTAATGGCTACATTTCAGCTTTTGTTCAGTATGTGCAATTCCAGGGCTGAAATTATTCTACTGATTCTAGTGAAGGTGTATGGAGTTTAAAAACACAGTGTAACAGTGCACCTGTATTACCAAATGACATCACAAGGTGGAACAGAGTGTTTTAGGTTTGACAACTCACCTTAAATATTCAGTTTGTGTGTTAAACGTGTGTGAATGAAACAAAACACTAGGTATGTTAGTGATGAGGAAACAAAATTATAACATAGATTTTAAAATTACATTATATGAGTCCTTAGTGAAACCAGCTGTAACATCGTTGTGACCACCAGTTCATTAAATTGATGAGTGTAATTGGCAATGGTATGTATTTTTAATCAAGAAGTGTACAGCCAATCCTCAGTCAGTGAAAGCAGGTTTGTGGTTTGGGGCAGAGATCCTATTTTGGAGAAAAAAAGACTATTGTTTGTGTTGAATGGCAATGATTAAAAGTCTGTTCACTGAAAACTGAGATCAATCAGTATAAAAGATGATGTGATACTTGCCAAATCACCCAGCCCCAGTCCACTACATACCAATTGGCTGCCTACATACTGTCTGAAAAACAGCTTGTACATTCATTGCCGTAGCATTCAGGTGTTTACTGTGGGGACTTCCATGTCAGTCACACATTTAAGCATCACACCTGTCTTCTCGTGAGACTGAGCGTTAACAGCCTTGTGTCTCTGCCTGTTTAAGCCTTTGTCCCTTTGAGCTGAGCACACTTGGAGCAGGATGCAGCTATAACAAACTATTGGCCCAAACTGCACTGTGTTCCCAAAGGAAGCCCGACATCCCCGACCCTGAAAACTGCAGTCGCTCCTGTGATGAAATATTTACTCTTTCATTTGTTTTTCCTCTCCTTTTAAAATTGCGGATGTTTTTTGTCAGGAGCTGAAGCTGACCCTGTAACTGTGGCTTCCATATTTGTAGTGTCTTTGGTTGGCTAGTCATGCTTATAAGATTATGCTATTTTTACATTTATATATTTTCTCTTTTTAGTGTCTTATTTTTATTTTGAAATGTGGCCTTTATTAAATATTGAAGCAAAATTGAATATCTGTTTTAAGGTTTATGCATGAAACAATATTTGCTTATGTTTTCTTTGAATGTACACTATATCACTTTTTTATCCATCTGTCCATCACCAGCTTGACTCCATACCTGGAATATTTCACAAAATTACATAAAATGTATCTATCTTCTAACTTCATGGCAATTGATGATGTGGAGAGATGACTCCACACACAGTAAGAATGCACATTTTTCAAGATATAAGAATGCCTATAATTGAATACATTTAAGATTCATTAGACATGTCGCCATATATGCCATACTGTGGAACATTTCAGTTAAACGTCTCTGTGGACAGGGAGGTGGCAGATTGCTTTTAGAAAATTTACAAAGTGTACTTTTAATGTCTTACCTTGTCAGTCTTTTAAAGTGTTGAATCAGTGTAGTGTTATGAGAACTAATATGCTGCTGCTGGTGAAATCAAATGGGTTATATGATGTTTGTATTCATCATTCACATTTCATTTGCAGGAAGGAAGAGCCACTGTGAACCAGGACACCAGGCTGGACAACAGGGTCATTGATCTCAGAGTGAGTTGAAGCTATGAGTAAAGTGTTATTTTGATTATCTCAAAATGTTTTTTCTACAGTTGAAAAGGCATTAATGATGGGGGCATAGATGGTGTGGAGGAAACAGTTTGGACCAGTCAATGGGAAATACAAAATTTTTTGCTCTTAAAACATTTTCTGGTGGATTATTTGAATATTGGGTTAAAGTCATTGAAATAGTCCACTGGGCGCATTGACCAACATTTGTTGTTAGAAGTAACATTCTCTGATGGCAGTTGGACCACTTAATTACTCTTCATGTCTGAATCCATGTAATTTCTATGCATAGCTCATGTAGTTGTAGAATAATAGATGAAAGAGCTGCTTTTCTCTATTGGAAATCATTTGTTTGAACCATTACATATATTTACAAAATATCATTGTGTTAAAACCAAATTAATTTTGTTTGGGATCTCAAAGTACTTGCTTTATTTGAGACAATTTGCACTTCATCAAGTTTTATTAAATTACATATTTTTCTGTTTCTGTTTAAATATTTTTTTTAGCTGCAACATGTTTCAAAAACATTTACTCAAGGCCAGTAATTTCCTACTTAATTGTTGTTTTTTATGAAATTGATTTTTTTATGATCAGCAGCTGCTCTTTTATATACTTCTTTATACACAACAAAGCAGACTACACATACTTAGACACCCAAACGCTGAGGTCTGGCAATAAACAGGATGTCAACTGTTGAAACAGAAGAGCTAAAGCCAAAGTCTGAATGCATTTGTACCTGTAGCTCTGTAAAAGAACAAAGTGCAGCCCCATCCTGTGCTTCTGGGCTCTTCACACGTGGGCATTGTCAGATAGTGTGTGACTCTCTACATGTTGGCTCATGTCTCAATGTGAAGTACACTCAATATACCCCACAGTCTGAAAGCTGTCATTATAACAGTTTGTTCAGGCCAAAAATGCAATTTCTCCATGATCTCTCAAAAGGCATTATTTGTGTCGATAAACCTAATATCAAGTGACAAGTTCACATTTGAGCATAAGGCGAGTTTACTGGCAAGAGAAGACATGTTAGACTCAGAGAAAGTTACACTTCTTTTACTCTTATTTTTGTGAGTGTATTCAAAGATGGTAAGATGTAGAATATGATTTACAATTCAATAAAATACAGTAGAAATGTACAATGAAAACCTACATACATACAATACATAATATGATACCCTAAATTATGAACGTTTAACATTTTCAGATACAAATAAAAAGTGAAAAAAAAAATCCCAAATGATTCCTTCCAACTCCATCTTCTCCATTCATCCACAATTTTGACACGCACAAAGAGTACACTGGTTTGTGACATGAAAGATATAAAATAATCCTGTATTAAAAGTGGATTTTTTTTTATGTAAAAGACAAGCACATAAAATGACATGCAACATACAGTATAATAATGTAGAATCAGAGGTGGAGAAGGGGAGGATATCGACAGAAATGATTGTTCTTTTCATCTTTTAAATTTACTGGTTGAGCATTAAGTATGAGACAAATTAAATTACAGCTGCAAACTAAGAACTAAAGTGTTTCTTTCTGCTGTTTATTTATTGCAGCTCATGATTTCTTTTTTTATATTATCAATTAGTGTCTATATTTACCTCAGCAATACATAACACTTCAAGATTTGTTTTCGTGACAGACCTGGTTCTGGCTAACAAATAACTGAAGTATCTGCCTATACCTGCATTGTACCAAACCAGTGCTAACCGCTACAACAGAATTTCAAAAACAAAACAAAACGCCCACCAATCAGTGAGTGTCTGAATGCACTGAAGCTGCTGGGTTTGTGTTCCGAGTGGGAGATGTGGTGAAGCTTTAAGGCGAGCCACAGAGCAGACCAAACCTCCACCTTGGTGTCTGATAGTTTTGATGTGTGCCTCCCACGTGGACGGTGCTGGAGGCAGAGAGGCGCTGCAGTAACACCTGTTTGTGTGTGGTACTGTGCACTTTGAGCCCCATACACAGGCCCTGTCATCAGCCCTGCACTTCAGAGCCAGGACCCAAGCTGTAAAGAGGTTCCCACAGCACCAAGCAGTCTCTCCACCAGGGAACCATGAACCAGAATAATGATTATCTAGTTCTGCTTTGTTTGCTCTCTAACCCTACCATCTTTGTTTTAGTGTAAAGAGCCTAGTTTGGACAAGAGTAGCATGCTCTATAATTAATTTCACATGGGAGGTTTCTTGTTTTTCTCTTAAAAATGTGAAAAACTATACTAGTTAATTTTTAAGCAGTTTACAGCTATTCAAAGCAATTACTGACTTGCCTTATGCATTTCAAGCATTTTATTCACTGTGATGAGCTTATATCTGCTTTTTGAAGACCAGAGCAGAGTTTTGATGCAATAATGACTCTAACAACAACTAGCATGTTAATCGGGCACTTTTAGATTATCGGTTAATAAAATGTTTTCTAATTGGATGCAGACTGCACACCGTGGTGGTTTGACCTATTGTGCTGCTTATACAATATATCTTTACTGGGCTAAGATAAATCCTGTTTAAATACATGGGCAAATCGGGTACACATTTTAATGTATTTTCTCAAACTAAGCCGTAACGCTAAGATGCTACTAATAAAAATTCAAACAAAGCATTGCACTCTGAGCGGAAGCATTTAAAATCATAGTTAATATTATGCCCATGAGGAGAGCGTTAAAAAGATTTACCATACTTTCATAGACGAGGTTCAATTCAATTCTGATGCTTCTTCTATACTATTGCCTGTATTTAAATTGCCAATAATCAATAACCTTAATATCTCTAATCTGTAAATTTCCCAAGATGCCTTTTTCTTTGTTGCTGAATGAAACTCTCTCGATGGGAAACGTGATATGAGGAAGAAAGACATTGTTCTTTGGTCTCTTTGAACAACCACCAACATACACCTTGTGATTTTAGGTAAATCCCTTTAAGCAACTTGTTTTGCTTTTAAAATCGAAACCTGATTCATTAGAAACCTAGCTGTAGTCAAATTTACCACAGGTTGGTTTCACTTAACTATGAACCAAAATATTGTTGGCATGCCCCTGGAAACTTCTAATGTATCACCATGACCTATGCAACTACCAGCTAAAGTATACATGTTGTTTTTCAATTTGTATTTCTTAAAATTAAATATAATTGTTTTCTTTAGTTTAATTTTGTAAGAGATGCCAAACAAGAGGAAGCTTCCAGTTGGTACCAGACAACCCCGCAGCTCTGTCTCCAGATTAATGAGCTTGCCAGCATTAAGACATTATTACTTTTCCAATCTGCCAGCTGCAAGTCTGACGCGCTTTATTCAGGACTTTGGACAGGCACCAGAGACGCAGAGAAAAAAGGAGGAGGAAATTAAGCCTTTTAATTAAAGCCCAGCCATTCCTCTTGTATTGAAAGGAGCAAACGTCTAAGAAATGTGGTAAAACTCAATTTGAGGACTATACCAAAGGACAACCCGGACTATAGAAGTTTTGTGGTCACTTTCGATGAGGCAGTAGATCTTAGGAAGTGCTTACAGTACTGTATTTAGTTGGCTGAGTCTTGGTGCACAAGCCTTTTCCAGTAGTCTATTAAAGGAGCTGTCTGATTTTTACTGTCTTTAAAAATGTGAAAAACAGAACTCATTAATTGTAAACTGTTTACAGTGGCCCAAACGTGTTCCTTGCCTTCCTAATTCCTAACGCTTTCTTGGAATCCTATCCATTCATCACAATGAGTACATAAGTACGTTTAACATCTTTCAGAGGCTGGAGCGGAGTTTTGCAGTTACGGTAATGCTTCCTTAGCCTGATTCATCAGCCGTTTTCACTTCGTAGAAACCATCTGACCTCGCAGTGTTAGAATTCGTTCGCTCAACAGTAGGCGGGTAGTTTTTTTCATTTAACCAATCGCTGCTATTTGGTAGTCACGTATGTAATGCTCTGCTAATGGGGCTAACTGGTATAGTAAGCTTTTCCCAAATCCCGTAGGAAGAAGGGTAATAACGGCTTTCCCCTTGATGAAATTCACCAAGCATTCTCTTTTTATTCGCTTTAAATTCTCAATCTAGGGAATCGTTGACAACACTGAATATATGGCTCTTCGCTGATTGGCTGGTGCCCGAACTTGCACCTCTGGGGTTTTTGCGAACCGTCTATTGTATTTTGATTCCTGACCTAGTTGCTGAAGCGAAATGAAATTGAGCGGAGGCACTAGGTGGCGCCAGCCTGGCTAATGCTTCCTGGCTCGCAAACTAGAAAAACGTAGCGGCCTCATTTTGACCCAAAGTGTTGCATTTACAATATATCTTGGCTAGGTTCAAACTAATTTTATAAATTGGGTACAGCACCCTTTTAATACTATTTTTGGAAGAGGAAAAAAAACATAAATCTTGCTAGTTGTGGGTGAGTTTTTGACTTCTTTCAAAACTTCTAGTGAGTAAAACTGACTGACTAGTTCTGTAATTTACATCTATAATAACAGGCTTAAATGCCCCAGAGGCTCACATTGTACTGCCAACAAATAATATTCCTCTACGTGTGAAGAAAACGTGATTGTGAAATATGAACCAATGATTCACGCCAACTTTCTTAATGCTTTGTGTGTGGTTCTTGTCTTTTGTTGTTACCTAGACAACCACCAGCCAAGCTGTATTCCGTCTGCAGAGTGGCGTGTGTCAGCTTTTCAGAGACACCCTCACCAAGAAAGGCTTTGTGGAGATCCAGACCCCCAAAATCATATCAGGTACAACTATCACAAACACGTATCATGCCCCAAAGGAAAACAAAAGTGACATATCAGGAAGTTTAGTGTATTTATTGTTATTGCAAAATTAGAAAACCCTATTCCAGTAAGCCCATAATAACAGGCAAAATGTATCCTAATAATGTAATGGTCTCACTCACTGCCTGGGGCCTTAAGTTTATTTAGTCATAATTTCATTTCATTTATTTATTGCCATGAGTTGTTTAGACCTGTTTTAGGGCTTAGCAAGAGCTGTATTGACAAGTGCGCCTTATCACAAAAATTCACTTTCTAAACATATACCATAATGTTGCATAGTGAGATAAGATCGGAAGAATAATCTTATAATGACAGTGATGATAATGAGTTGTATTATGTGTGCTTGCTGCTGGAAACACAGTGAAATAGTTTTATAACACGCATGTCCAGTTATTCTAATATGAGCAAACACAATATCCATAAAACAAGAGACTAAATGGATTGTAATAATATAATCTTATTTGCGGAAATTTAAACTACCTCGTGTAAGTATAATCGGTAACCAAAAATGACCCCTGTGATATTGCAGTTCCAATGCACCAACAATACAATGTAATAATTCTTTTCTAAATCCCTGCTGTCAGATTTAGTAATTTATCCAATTGATGTTTTGTGGTGTCTTAATCAAACACATTTCTATTTCTATGCACACAAGCAGGAAGCAGAAAGCAGTGAGTTAGCTTGAGTTTTGGGAGTGAGCGGACAGTTTAATCTGCCTTTCCTATAAACATGTTGTTTACTAGTACTCTCTGTTCCTGAGATTCTGGTAATTTCGTTGTTGACAAAAAATATGCTCTGTGCATTCATTAATCCAGATTTTTTTTGTCCACCACTGCTTTACAGTTTTGATAGCAAGATATTACCATTGAGAGATGTTTGGATTTCCCATTTTTTCTGAGCAAATGTATACCAAACCAGGAACCATTATTTACAAATACGAAAAGGCCACATTTCTGTTATCACCACTGGTTCTCTTTGTGAACAATAGGTGGATTTTGGATACTGATGTATTGAAATTCAAACTCTCACGTCATCTGCTCTTCGCTCACATTACAACACAATGGGCTTCTAATTTAGCAGGAGTGGCTTTGTTTGAGCTTGCTTTCAACAGACAGTTACTAAAAGAAGTTGGGAAGAATCGCTCATAAATCTTGACATCAGCATTCATTGGGCAGGTTGTCTTTGGTGCTTTTGTGTTGCGTAGCGTCTGTCTTATCCTGATATGTTTACTCCTACATCTTTTTATCTGACAAAAAAGATGTAGGAGCACCTTGTACATTTTCAAACATTTCCCTGACTGAAATAGAGCAAGAAATTTGCTATGCATATATTTCCGTAAACATAAAAAATATAATTTGACTTTAATCATGAATCTGTACACCACAGCATTTTGCAAAAGTTTGTAAAGCGAATTTCAACTTTTCTCACAACTTTCAGTTTTGTGGCGAAGTACTGTCATTTTCACTTCCTCTTCTTCAAGAGACACATACGCAGACGGAGCGTTTCTACATTCAAAAGTGGCGCTCTTTTTTGTTTTGGCGGCACTTGCATGTCAACATCATGTACTCTTTAAAACCACATCTTCCTGTCTGACACGCCCGAAATCACAACGGTTTGTGATGTGTGACCCCCCACCCAATAGCTGTGACGCAATGACAACAATATAACAACAATAATGCCCAATGACGTCTATTAAATATGGGGAACCAGATGTGTGCTGTTATGCAATACCAACACCTGCATGCTGAAGTGAACATGTTGTGCTGCTCATGTTCCATATTTGTTATTTTAGGTTAATTTAGGTTGAACACAAAGTAACCTACTCAATTTTAACTAGAAGAAAATAGTTTCAAACTTCAAAAGTATCAAAATAGAAGATTTTAATATAATGGAAAAAGCGAAATGCCAGTACCATTGGAAATAATTGTTTATTTACCTCCTCGTGTGTGTAATGGCTTTACTTTAACTAGCCATTTAAAATAAAATGACTCAATATTCAAGACGTATTTTAGGACAGTTTTGTAATCTTTATCCTTGATCCTGGTTTAAGAAGATTTGGAGAAGGCTCCCAGAAGATTCTCAGGCTATTGTGATAGATTGCCAGACATAGAAGAATGTAAAATATGCAGTTATCAAACAAAGCACATATTTAAAAAGGCACTATGAAACTTTTTCTGATGAAGGGTCTGTCACTTGTTTTTCTCATGAAAAGATCTTGCTATGCCTGGAATGTTCTACAATATGGTGTAAACTTATCTAGCGTTCATGGTTCAAGGTTTATGCCATTTTATGGACCATTCCAAAACCTCTCCATGAAGACAGTTTCAGACCTCCCACCTGAAACCTTGCACAGTGCACCTTTAATACAAACGCAATTCTATATGAAATGACAGTATTGGTGCAAATTCTTCTTCTATCTATATTGTTTGCACAAAGTCAACTTGAAGTTCTATTGAGCAAAGAAATGTCTGTAAACGAACATGATCTTGTTATGTCTGAGAAAGTCCAAGTTGTGGACAGCACCGATCGAAAAGTGGTGTGTACTTCTGACATACAGTACATCATCATTAGTATGAGTGATGGCTGGCGCTCCTGTGGCACTGGGTCGACACATTTCTCTTGTTTCCTATGTCTAAACTTATCTTTTTTCTTTGCAGCTGCCAGTGAAGGTGGAGCAAACGTCTTTACCGTGTCATACTTCAAGACTAGTGCTTACCTGGCCCAGTCTCCCCAACTCTACAAGCAGATGTGCATTTGCGCTGATTTTGACAAGGTCTTCTGTGTGGGTCCAGGTAAGGCAGCCCACCCATCTGTCCCACACTTTTTCTTATCATTTACAACCTAACAAGCAGCCGGTGTACCATAAGGTGATAGACCCCTGTTAACGTAGACGACAGCTTTAAAATGCCTCCAAATGCATTGAGGTTGTTAAATTTTTACACGCTCTCATTGCTTTCCTAACATGGACTGGAGCTGCTGCCACTGTACAGTTTAGTGTGCTACTGACTCAGCGGGGATAGTAAAGGCTTTTATTAAGCTCCTGCTGTTTTATAAAGGTTGTAGAGTTTATAGGTAAGATAACACAGCAACCAACCTGTTCAACAGTTCTATGTAACAATATTGCAAAATGGAATCAACCAAATAAAGGTAACTGGAAAAGTATTACTAGTAAAAGATTAAAAAAAAAAAATTGCATTCATGAATATGTGTTTGACTGGTTGGCTGTCATTTAATTATTTATACCAATTGTTTTTGCTTGATCGTAATACGTGTGTAAACTAATGACAATGATAATGATTTATTGGATTTAGATGGGTGGTTTGTTTACATTGCATTATTCATTTACTCCATACTTGGTGGTAAGCTATTATTGTAACCACAGCTGCCCTGAGGTAGAGCTGGTGTTTTCATTGGTCTCTCATCCAAGTACTAATCAGGCGCAACCTTGCTTAACTTGCAACATGAGATACCTTTACAAAGTGCTAAAATCCTACTGTAAAATAAAAAATATCTTTGTAAATATTTAGATTTACTTCAAATTAATTCATACTTGTTTATAATGGTGTCACATTCTGCTTTTTGCAAATATTAAGGATGCTGATCCAATATTTGCCAATATAAGTGTTTGTGTGCTCTAATCTCACCAGAGAATAAAAAACCTTAAGGTTATCCTGGCTGTGATTATAATGCCTTTTTGTGGTGACTATAGTGAAGCCAATAAAAAGAGTTTAGTTCATTAGTCCCAGCAGTCCGAAGCTATACGGACCCGACCACTGAATGGCTCCTTTGGTCTATCCAGGGATGCAATTAATCATTGAAGCTACACTTTATGTGATATTGTTGAAGTTGTAGGTTTAAGTATATATGGTACACCTGACCACAGCTTTGAAATCTTAAGTCATTATGTCTCAGTACTGTCTGCTCTGACATGGGACTACTCATTAGTAGTCTCATGATTAAAATGACTGCAGACCCCCAGTGTAAACATTAGCAAAATAAAAATGGAATAGTACATATTTACTCTGTATATTGTTTTCAGATTTTAGTTATTATAGCACACTATTTACTACATTGTCTGCTCCCCACCTCAATTAAACTCAACCGGCCTATGTGACATTAAGCCATCTCTCACCCAGTAATACTATGCATAGGTTTGAATGCATGTTTTTAAATTGGACTTGACAGCACTAAATACCTTTGAAATAATACATAAAAACATATGATCTCTAATTTAACTGTCAATAAGGTCAATATTTATGTGTTGACATGTGAAATCTTCTGTGGTTTCAGTTTTCAGGGCAGAGGACTCCAACACCCACCGTCACTTGACCGAGTTTGTTGGTCTTGATATTGAGATGGCCTTTAACTACCACTATCACGAAGTCATTGAGTCCATTACCGACACTATGGTGCAGATCTTCAAGGGACTGAGAGACAAGTAAGATCAAAAAGGAGCTACTTATGCCTCCTATCTCCTGACATGCAGTAATGAGCTTTCAGCCTGTTCTGCTCTTGTGATTAGAATATCTGCATTCAGAAAGCATCTCCAACTCGCTCCATATGACATTGGCTAGTGGCTACAAAATGTGCTGCAAATTAAGCATTCAGAATACTTCTCAAATTTTGTCTCAGATTTTGACAGACAAGATTTCTCAGTGGACTGTTAAAAGATTTTTGGACTTTGGAGATTTTTATGTCACAATGTTGGCGTACTTAAATCTAGAGTAAATGTTGTCACCCGAGCTGTCTGTTTTAATGACGGTCAGTGATTTTCATTTTTGCTGTCAAGCAAGTGGGCACCAGTACAGCGGTATGATGGGACTTCATTGCCTCCCAGTGGTTGGAACCGGTACTATATATAAAACTGCAAAGCCAAGTTTAAGTTAAGAATGATGAGTTCTGTCTTCATATTTACCTACTAAATGTGGATGGTTTACTTATATACAGTGTAGATGGTGTATTAGACAGTATAAATTTGAATAGCCTGTTGGATAGGGTACAAGATACTTCTCTATACTATACTATACTACAATAAAACTTGTAGCGAAACTAGATTCTCATTTGAACAGGTATCAATACTAAAAATGTCTCATCAGCCGGAAAGAAATGAACCTTTCTTGAATAGCTTTAGAATGATTTTGAGCTGTGTCAGAACCACATACCTGAATGACTGAGGGGTTACACAGATGTAAGGCCACATGGTAATATAAAAGTAAATATTATGATTTCATATTGAAAATAACATTCTATTGTCTATAGTTTTTTTGTGTGTGTTTTTTTTTTTTTTTTTTTTTATCAGCATTGTGCTCTGTTCCTTGAAACAATCACACGACTGTTTCATAGCTTTTTAGTTTGTGTCATTGTTCCAGTATTTGTTATCTGTGGTCAACAAATTAACCATGGCTCAAAATAAGATTAATCTGAACACAAGTTAAGAGAACAACTTGGAAAGTATCTGATATAGCTTTTGGAAATGGCACAATTAAAACTATAGAAAATGAATGGCATAGCCTCAGGTGCACTGTATTTCCCATATTTGAACTTGATCTAAAGAACTTCAAACAGCGCATACACAATGCCGTATGCTTTTAAGTCTGTTGACGCCTTTCTGTTCCCAGTTTGTAGATTTGTAGATAGTGTGCCATTGTGGGGGAATTGCCAGACAAGTTGCTGCCCTGAATAGGTGATGACAAAAGGGGATAAAGTCCATACTGATGACGTGCCACTGTTTAAACAGAGACGGGCCTTTATAATAGACAGGTGTCCCTGAGAGATTTTTTCACATGAATAACTTCAGCTAGTCGCTCACCTCCTGTTTGGTAACATCTTGTAGCTGGGACATTTAACTCACTGTTTACTTGGTTTAACTTGTGACTGCAGTTCCTCTTTCTGTGTGCCCAAGACTGAAGATAACATTCCCACTCGTATTAATGATGAAATGAGGATGGACAATTTGGACTACAACAACTTCTTTCCTTCATATCAGATTGAATCGCGTTTTCTCTGACAACAAATAAATATGGCTTTCAATCATAATTAAAAATTTTTATCAAGTGTAAGTGAAGTTTAATGAAAGTTTAGATATGAGAGTAGCATCATTTGGGGTTGTGTACAGGAAGTAGTTACAATTTCCAAACAACCTTAAAATAACTCAAGATATATAATTCTAATTTCATGTTTTATAAGCAAGACTGACTTTTAATCTGTGCCAATTGACCAGTTTCTTCCTAAAAGTCTGAACTCTGCCCCCAGCTACATGTTTTTACTGAAAAATGATTAGCTCTGCACCTCTCAATTAAAAAGACCCAAGTTTACACTGTTTATACTTTTGTTGTGCCTTGTTAAAGCCAGTGTCACTGTTCTTCAGTGTATGTGGATAAGTTTAGTCATTGGCAATGACACCCTCTCTTGTGAAAGCTTTAGGACATTTCACCATTCAAAAGATAAAATATTTTGTTTTGAATTGCTTTAAACTGCTATGGTGCTAGTGCTATTTTTCCATTACTCTGAAAAACCCATGGATGCAATATACTACCAGAGGAACAAAGCCATAGAACTGACTTATGTTTTTATAATGGTCAATAAGTTACACAGTTATAGCTCTACTGAATATTGGATTATTTGCTTTTACTGAATGAAAACCACATCAACCATATTTAAATGCATCTCAAGTAAACAAACAAACTAAACTAAAATCATAAATGTTTTAAATATTTTGCACCAAAGCCTCATCATCATCTTATCTTGTAGTTTCCAGACTGAGATCCAGACGGTGAATAAGCAGTTTCCTAGTGAGCCCTTTAAGTTCCTGGAGCCTACTCTGAGGCTGGAGTTCCAGGAGGCTGTGGCCATGCTGCGAGAGGCTGGCGTGGAGATGGGCGACGAGGAGGACCTGAGGTGAGAGGTCAAAGTAGGAGTGTGCCACATAGACAGTATAAAGAAGTGGACTTTCGTGTGACATCACTCACAGCGTTTGGCCAGCGGTTATAGGACCAAATTTGGAGTTGAGTTTCATATTAGAAATAGGAGCTTATTAATGGACAAAATATCAAAAGAAAAACGTCAGGATCATGCAGAATGTCGTAATACGAACATTTTAAGACCAAAATGACGAGGCTCACTGCAGAGACAGTTTTTGAATGTAAAGTCAATTGGAGCCAGAGTTGATGGAGCCTTAGATGCCCCCATGCAACACTTGCTATTTGTAACGTGGTAGCTTGCGGGTTATGATCATGATGAAATTATGATTTATATAGGCTGCCTAAATATGTCTTAAAGCCAATGTAAATATAGTCAGTCATCTGCTTCTTCTGAAAGTTCCCTCTTCACAGTTATTGATTAAATCAACCAATAGAAGTTGGAGGGAAAAGGTGTCTTTGTTTGAGCAGACAGCTTTATTAAATGGAGAAATAGGGAATGACAATTCGGTGATTTGTAGCAATAGCATATTGTCACAAGGTTGAGCTCACAATTTGATTTGTATCACCCAACTCTAGGTCAAATGTCATATGCATCATTTTTAAGTCACATGCCATCCACGAGTTTGATGTCAAATAAATAAGTGTATAATGTTGAGGGAAATAGGGAAGTGAAAGGGTAAGAGCGAAGAGAGAGTTGAGTACATGTAACTCGGTCCAACTCATGAGTGTGTTGCGCCGTCTATTGAAAGTAAATAGTACTAGTCCATTGCAAAAAATTTGAATATCATGAAAAAGTTCGCTATTTTTTATCACTCGTTTCCGAAAGTGAAACCCACATTTTATATAGATTCATAACATACAGAGTGAAACATTTCAAGAGTTTATTTTATTTTTTTAATTATTTTTTTATAAAAATATTGTGGCTTACAGATGAAAAAACGAAATTCTGTGTCTCAGAAAATTAGAATATTACATAAGATCAATGAAAAAAATGCAAAGTTCTACCATACATTCTAAATTATTAATACTCAGAGCTACAGACTGAAAAAGATATTTCTTTCTGAAGTTTAATCCAAATGTAAAATGCTTGTAAGACAAGAATATTATAGACATTTATTTTTTCTCCACCAGTTTGTAGTTTCTGAAGTTATAGATGTACAATTATATGATATTGGGTTTTCAAACCTAAAAGGAGAAAAAAGGTATAAATCCGTCTTATCTTGTTCCTAGCTCTTACACGCTCTTCGGCATATCATTAGCATTCACATGGATCCATGTTTGGCCACTAGCACAACTTTAGAACTGCTTTTTCAGGTGAAGAAATGACATAGGGTAAACCACAAAAACGTAGTCCAATCTCATCCCAAAGCATCATATAGTGACTCTTTCTTCATGTTAGTGTTCCATAAAATGGGTAATAAAGATGAAAAATGTTGGGTGATTTTATTTTAAATTCCAAAACTCCTTTTTTTCCCCTTCAGTACACCCAATGAAAAGTTGCTTGGCCGCCTTGTGAAGGAAAAGGTACAGTGGTAGTGATAATAATTAACATTTCAAATTAACTTTTTACTTGAATTTATAGGTTTTTATTTCTCTTTTTAGTACGATACTGACTTCTATGTGCTGGACAAATATCCTCTTGCTGTCAGACCATTCTACACAATGCCTGATCCAAACAACCCTGTAAGTCTTCCACAAACATTTGTACAGCCACACAGCGACATATGTCCAATAAGTTATGTAAATGTTTGCTAATGAGCACCATGGTCAAACTGTGGTAACTGTCCAGAAAACATGTCTCTGTGGATAGAGATGGGTCAGCCAACTGTTTGCCTTGGCTCCAATTAATGCTATAAATTCTTCTGGAAAATCACATTCATATAGTGTGGTCAAGAATAATTTGACATTCATACTGAAGTAGTCACAAAGTAATGTCTGGAGATTTTTAAACTATATGCTCTCTCACACATTCACATATGTATTTAATATATTTATTGTAAGTGAAGTTTTATGTTTTTTTTTTGGTTGTTTTTTTTTTTACTTTGATATAGCAGTTGAATCTTTTGTGGTTGGTGTGCAGAAACGTAATATGTTTCAGAATGAGAAAAATCTAGCATCATTGCCTTAACAATTAACAATTCAAAACAAAATATTCTTTTGTATGGTGAAAAAGTACTCAAAATCTTGGCCAGAAACTGCAAGCTGAAACTCTTGAACAGAGCATCATCATTTCAAACAATCTAAAATAATTCAAGATATTCATCAGTCTAATTTAAGTCATTTGTGTCAGCTCTACAAATATGAACATTGATACTGTCTGTTTATTTCTGATCTTGATTGAAATGTATGTTAAACCTAAATGACAGTTAGTGTTGTCACTGATTCTGCATTCTGCACTTTGTAACAGAAATATTCAAACTCATATGACATGTTCATGAGAGGAGAGGAAATCCTGTCTGGAGCCCAGAGAATCCACGATGCTGAATTGCTCACGGAGAGGGCCAAGCACCATCAGATTGGTAAGTAAGAGATGGTGAAACTGAACATTTAGGATTTGGCTCCCTCTGCTGGTTGGGTAGAACAAAAACACATTTGTGGACAGCAGCAGAAAGGTTTTATTTTATAGCTGTTTTTTCAAAGCAGCAACCAAAAATAAAATAACTCAAAACTAATCCAAATGTGTTATGTAGCTGTTATTTATCCGTCAAATAACTACAGAAAAACTTCGTATAACTAAACGTTCAAACAGTATGAGACTTTTGGGCCAACAACACCCATTAAATAGACTTATTATATAAATGTATATATCCAACCAGGTTATCGGCTAACTGATATTTGTATTTTTCAGTATCAGCACCAATTTCTGATATCAGTATCGAATCAGTGCATCCCTCATTGTTTTATCTAAACACCTGAAAAAACATACGTCTTCTAATGGCTTAAAAATGTTTCATCTAACCCTGTTTTGTGCTGGCTTACAGATCTAGAGAAGATTAAAGCTTATATTGATTCCTTCCGTTATGGAGCCCCTCCCCACGGCGGCGGAGGCATTGGTAAACTTAACATCTGCCCCAATCGGACCAGTAATGTATTGATTGTTTTGAATAATTATTGACTGTTTGATCCATCTTTTTCAGGTCTGGAGAGAGTCTGCATGCTGTACCTAGGTCTCCACAACGTTCGTCAGACCTCCATGTTCCCACGTGACCCCAAACGCCTCACGCCTTGAGATCTGCCATCTGTCATTATGAAGCATTGGACTAACACACAAAAACTGGTGAAGGGGAAACAATACTAATCCACTATCCTTAAGGTCACAAAGTAAAATAGGGAGCAGCTAGTGCCACCAATTTCAATTAACGTGCCACTGATTAATCATTCAGAAATAAGGTGAAATAGTTTGATAAGGTTTATTGGTTTGTGTAATTGTCTTAACCACAGTTACATATATTTTAATAAGAACAGGCAGTTTAGGGTGTTTTAAGTATGTAACCGCACAAACTAACCAGTAGTTTACAAAAAAGTCCCTGTTTTTTTTCTATGGATGTGATGAAGATGCATTGAGTTCCTTTTGACCAGCACAGACTCAAGCTACGATTGCGAACTCCACAGGCAATGCCGTATGCCTGTCATTGCAGGGTTTTTTACATGATTCAGTGACTTTATAGGTCACATTAACAATAAGAATAAATAAAAATAAATAACTAAACTTCTGGTTTATTTCATATTGTGTAACATGCATAACTATATACACATTATATCTACAATGCCAAATATTTATACAGTCTTTCAAAATGTTTTTGTCTATCTTCTTTCATAGTGTTGATTCACCAAAGTGCTCTCTAGTGTTCTCTAATATTTGATACACGCAATTAGCTAGTTATTCATGCTAATGTGTACACCTCAACAATATAACTCAGGAGTAAAAGTCCAAGTTAAGTGTACAGGAATCAGTCGGTTGCAGCCCCACTGACTTGAAGGATGAAGAGGAAAATGTTGACCACGTCGATGTAAAGGGACAGTGCTCCGTAGACGTATTCCTCTGGGCTTATAGCTAGCTCTCGGTTCCCAATCAAAAGCTGTGTGTTGTACACTAAAAACTAAACCAGAGAAAGAAGGACAGAAATGTAAGACCAAATGAAACTTGGCAATCAACAATTCACAATTTATCCAGCCACAGCAGTTCATAAGCCAGTGTTTTTGCTGAATTTCAGTGTTCTATGGAAAAACTGCATACCCATCGTTTGGAGGTTTAAGTTTTTGAGATTGATCATTTTGCAGACACCTTCATCTGATGCAGCAGGATCCAATTCCATCAAATGAATTGCTAGATTTGCTAGGCTAGTGTGAGAAAATAATGTGCATAATGTGATATATATGATTTAATTTGGCAGTTTAGCAGTCCAGTAAAAGTAACATTTTTATGTAAGTGCTAAAATCTATTTGGTAGAAAACAACTTTTCAGTATATTAAAAAAAAAAAAAAATGGTTCCTTCCTTTTCTCATTTTTATAAAAATAACAATAGCTGTCCAACACATATTTTGTACATAGTTCTGTCATGGTAACACATGATATATTGCTGAAGAAAGTATGATCAGCATTAAAATGTAAAATCTTGTTAATCCATGAGCTACAATAAGGCAGGATAAAACACTCAGTAGTTTGTTTGTGTTTACTTTTTCAACAATCTCTAGCTCTAATCTTATTGTACAACAACAAAGTTCTCCAACAATATAAATGAAAAATACACTCAATAGTGTGGATATAGTAATTACCGGTACTGTGATAGGTGTATTTTTATATCTGTGAATTGAGCACATTGTTTCTATTTTTTAGCATATTCTGTCAACAATATAAGAAGTCAATGTGAACTCACCAGTGTGTAAACAATGGCTCCAATTGCAGCATACACCATGTGCAGCCAAGGGACCTGTGAAGTGACATAAAGTAAGGTTTTATTCCCTTCCACCCCACTGTGCTGACAAAGATGAAAGAAGAAATGAAACTCAAATCCACAGTCAATGTCTTACATATTGAAAAGTCAGGACTACGGCGGTAACAATCCCAATGATGGTGAGCAGAACAGCTGAGATACAGAGGAGCCCGCCGCAGGAGGTGAAGTCCACCTGGGATGAGAAATTAACACCATCAAAGGACGGCTTCAGACCACAGGGGTAATTTATATGCGAGATTGCAACCACAAAATTCTGCTTCTTCACCTTCTTTATATGGGTTAGCTTAATCATAAATTAGCACCGTTACCATAGCCACTAACAATTCAAAACAAGTTTTGTTTATCATCTGGCAAAAAGTATTCAAAATGGTATGTATAATCTGGAAACTGAAACCTATCAATATATAAACATAAACTTAGTCTGAATAAAAAGGAAGAAGGACTAGATTATGAAATGCATAAACAAAAACTAAAATGGGATTGGATCATGAATACATAAACCGTGTGATCGTATTATATTGATTAAGAGGTTAAAATGTATTATAATTCAAATGAAATCCTACTGCAACATTTGTATTTAAAATGCTGTTTGACATTGAAGTTGTCTTTTATGTTTAGTCCACCTGTGAATCTATCATTCACAAATGAAAGTGAACGTCTCTTGCTTTAAGCCACAGGGAGCTGTCGAGGTAATTTGATGAAAAAAGGAATAAGACTGCATGCTTTGAAACTGAAAATGTAACTTTCTCGTGTGGGGTTACATCAGACAGAGTGAAGTAGATTCACTTCTTATTCCGAAATGTGATGAATATTTAAAGGATGTCGGTGGCCCATTGTAACTGGAGACAAAGGAGTTCTTTTACATGCAACAAAAAGGCCTCTGATGAACAGTGAGTTACCGAACAGCAAACAGAATAAACAGTTTTTAATCTCATGCGGTGCCTACCTTGGTTTGGAAGCAGAAGATTGTCACTGCCACACAAACAATGGCTGTTATTATCATGGCGATGAACACTGCTTTGGTCTCATAATAGCTGGTAAAACGAGGAGACAAAATGCATTTTTATTGTGGTGGATCAAAATGTTCTGTACTATGAAAGTTTGGACGACACTGACCTTGCAATGCTCCCAGCCAAGTAAGACAATGCAACTGTCTAAAATGTAAAACTGTTTTGTGAATGGCAAATTCTAAATCAATTATCTCTCCATATATTTGTTTTCTACAGACTGAATAACAGGATGTACTTACAAATACTCCCAATAGTACAAAGTTCCATGGAAATCGCCGCCTTAAATGAATTATGAATGAATGAATTAATACTTAGTTACACATCAACTACTGTCAATCTCAAAATGTTTTTATTGCTTGTATGGTTCAAAGCCCATTCTTACCTTGGTTCTTTGCAGCAAACTAATATGCAATAAACAGCAAAATAGATCACTCTAAAGAAAAAATAAAGTAGTTATTTTTTTTACAGAAACCCTCATGATTGTCATTTTTGATCTGTAACTTACAAAGAAGCATAATAGACCCCAGGGTAGTTTATAACAAACATCTTCACAGGCTCACTTTAGGGAAAATGAAATATTATAGTTATACTTTTGCAATACATGGATAAATAATTAATAAAAATATATACTTACACAAAGGTAAAAACAGCTACAACTGAAAATGTGATGATAAGTTGTGCTGCCAATATTAGGTACACCTGTCCATAAAATACAAAAACAAAATATGATTGTTGTTTGTAAAATTAACTAAATAAAATGTTAATACTGCTTACCTTCCTGATAAATGCATGCCTTACTGAAGTGCTCTCAAACTGGTTACTTAAAAAATCATCCATGTCTGCTTAAGATAGTAAGTTGAAACAAGACAAAGCAAATGAAATCTGGTTAGACATAAACATAATGGCGAGCTGTGAACCTATAAGCTTCAACCTACTAGTCTCTATAGTGACCACTACATGCATATTTTCTATTGGTATAAACAACAACTGAATGGGCATTTGAGCAGTGCCATGAACTCACTGCTATTGTTTAAGATTATCTATTTTGCTCTGACTATTTGACTGATAAATTCTTTCAACTTTTCAACTGAACTTATTCCAAGTGTGCGCTAACATTTGCACAATCACCACATCGCTATTGGATTAGACTCAGAACTAAACCTGGATCAGACTGGACTAAACCAGGTCAAGAACAGGACCAAACCAAATCTACAGTAGGATTCAAACTTGTCTCATACCAGCACTAAAGTGAATGCACCCTAAATCTTCTTTAGTATTTGGGTAGGTTTTGTTTAATTTTGTTGTTTTATTGTTTTTCTTAATGAAATCACTTCAAACCCATTCTTCGGTGCCCTAACTCACTACAACACCAACTTGCATAACCATTGCTACTATTAATAACACATGAATATTCACTGCTAACTAACCAAAATACCCTACATAAATAAATCTGGTTATAAATGATATCTTTACCTGAGTTGGAGGATGGCACTCCTGCAGACAGTGTAGGTATCGTGCCGGATGGCCCGAAGCCAGGCCCCATCCACACTCCTGGGGGTGGGTAGGCCCCTGTTTGGCCCCAGCTGACATGGGGCCCTCCGTATACTGGACCAGGGGTGTACGACGGTGGAGGAGGGAGGGGAGCATTCTGCTGTGTGACTTGTGGGAGGCTGGCATCTTTAGGCTGAGCAACTGCATCCTCATATGGTGGCGGGTTGTTATCTTTGGACATTGTTACCAGACCACCTTAAATAGAGCATGGCATATGGAAATATAAAAAATGTTTTTTATGTCTGGGACAATTGAATTTTCAGGATCCTGGTTGGGATTTTTTACATTTTAATCATATTGCTTCACATGTTAGAGGTGCCATATGTATCTTTACTAGTATCTACCATGTGCTTGTTTACATGGAGATTATGTTGATTTGTCTGTAATGCTCCACAGTAAGATAATAATCTATGTTACATGCTTTCAGTTATGTTTGTTTATTGCCCCAAAATATGTTCTTACTGTGCGTGTGGTTATCTCTACAGATAAGGACTACAAATCTGTAATTTGGCCTAATAATCACCTCTCTGTCTCCAGGAAACACAATAACATCTCCATGGAGTCAAGTAGGTGGTGGACCCTTCATCACAAGATATATTAAATTACATGTGCACCCTTAAAACCGGTTTTGTTACAACATAGTCTAAAATCTATAGATCAGGATTTTCTTACTTTAAACCATGGCTGGTCCTGTATTCACACTGCAATTGTAGATAGCACTAACATTAACACTTAAAGGTGGTATTAAATAAAATATATGCAACTACCTGGTAACATGCCTTAGAACAAACATAACAAACTACAGTACAAGTTGTCATTAAACATATTTTGTGCTTACCTGGTGGCTGCAGCCCTCGATGGGAGCCCTGTGTCCTTGTGTCCTCTCTGCTCTGTTTGCTGTGGAGTTGAACTGGAGCTGGGCATCTCTGTAACAGGATCTGCTCTCTGAAACTCACACTGTTTCTAGTGTGTCCCGGGAACAGAAGGTCTCCCTGTCCTGTCTGCCAGTGAGAATTAGACTGCATAAATACTAATTATGTTTTAAACTATTATTGATTAATAATTTTCATGGCAGTATAGCTTAGAGTAGACCTAGAATTTGTACTATTAGCCTATATGTGTAATTAAGCAAATAAATTAAATCCATGAGAGCTCAAAAGCTCTTTTTTTTTTCTGTCTGTGTCTGTGTCCTTGGAAATCTTGGGGATACAAGATCTGGTTTACTGGTATCTCTTCAAATGAATTTTAGATTTATAATAAAAAAATATTATCCACGAACTATTTATAATTACCATTTTATTACTATTCATAAATACAAGTTTACTTTAACAATTAATTTACAAGTTTTATTACATTTTGTAGAAACAGGTGACGGTTCTCTGTGGGCGACGTGTCATTAGCGCGTCATGACGCACGGTTCACCGGCTATGGCGCTTCCTGAATGGGTGATAACATTCGCAGCCTCTGCATCCTTCTTCTTTCTCGTGTGTGTTTGTATTCGTTTTCGTCGTAAGGTAAAAGTGATCGGCAAGAAATATCTGCACAAAATAATGGCTCGTACAGAGAAGCCGCTCTTCCGAATAGCGTGAGTGCATTTGGAACAAAATGTGTTTTTGTTGCCATCATGCAGTCTATGGTCTAGCTACATAAACACAGGGTTAACGACGCGGCTTGGCTGCTTGGCTTACGCTGGCATTATAAGATTGCTTTGTGTCTTTAACTGTACCATCGTTGTTTCTGTAGTCGTCTTTCATAAAAGTAAAAACCACGAACATTATTCTAATTAAGGCTGCATTGAATCTACTACGTGAAATCCAAGCATGATACCGCATGCAATTACAGGGCAACAATCGGCTGCGCAGGCCCGCCCCTTTTCTGTCCCTGCTTATTTTCTAGTCACTAAATGTAAATATCGCCTTCGTTTCTATTCAGATACACGCTTTATACAAGGACCAGACTGGGCTACATGTACTACAAGAGACAAATGAGAAAAGCCCGCGAGCACTACCCATCGGGACATTCCTCCACTCAGCCAATGGAGTTCAATGGTATGAACAACATGCAAATAAGTAACTGAGATTCTGTTATATCTGCAGAACACGATGTAATAATACTGTAACACTCTGTCTTTCTGCAGGTATCAAAATAATTCCCATCTCAGTGCTGTCTGACAACTACAGCTATCTCATTATTGACACAGCTTCAAGTGTTGCAGTGGTGGTAGATCCTGCAGATCCTCAATCCGTACAGGTGAGACCACTGCCTGAAATACTGTTATAGAATAATACTATCACAAAAGGGAAAAAAACAATATATATATATATATATATATATATATATATATATATATATATATATATATATATATATATATATATATATATATATATATATATATATATATATATATAGTTATATTATGTTATATATTATATTATATTATACATATACCAGATGCAGTTTCACTGTAATGGACATAATACTAATGTAGGCTTAATCTTGCCAATGCTGAGAACATGGCTTTTCTGTAAACAGAAGTGGCATCAAGTATCTTTACAAAGCTTCTGAAACTATGTCTGAACAAAGGCCTTCTGGCATAGAATACAGGCTTTTACAGATTTCTACATGCTGGTACAAATAGCTGCCTGGAAGTAAATTTTTTTCTTACTAAACTAACTAAGCATATGTTTGGCAATAAGCATGCTGTAATATGATCATGTAAGGTTGCTATCAGTTTAGTCTTAGTGGATATACCTTTTTGGTTTGTTGAATCAAATCAATGAAGGAGTGAAATAACTATTGTTATGGTGTAAATCTGTGGTGTGCTGTGGCCAGTGAGTAGAGTAACAGCTGCTAAAGGGCTGTACTAAAATATCAATTTAAGACTTTACTCATCTGTGTGACTTTGTAGGCAGCTCTCGAGGCGGAAGGAGTGCTGTTAGAAGCAATACTCTGCACACACAAGCACTGGTGAGTCAATCATTACACAATACACACAACACTGTTTTAACATGGCCATTTATTTATGAAGAGGTTCTCCTCAAATTCTGGGGCAGGTATTACTGGTGGTAAACTCTCTCTCTTGTGTAACAATTGGAAATCAATTTAGGGTTACGTAGGTCCATTAATCTCAGTTGTTGATTTTGCATTCAGTGTACAGTATTTCATAATATCAATCAAAATATCCATAAAAAATAGGTAATCCAAATGCAACTTCATAAATAAGAATTTTTGGGAAACACTTATATATAGTTTATTACATCTAATTTTATATTATTGCTTACTACTATTCTTTTTTGTCTCAGTAGTGTTTGTGTATTATTATAATTCACTATCAGTGAGTAATAAGCTTGTCTAATTCTCAAATATTGTGCATTTGCAGGGACCACAGTGGAGGAAACAAAGGGCTGAAGCGTCTCCACAGCTCGTGCCGTGTGTATGGGAGTGCTGTGGATAACGTCCCTGGGCTCACACAGTACGTCTCCTCTACCACTGTTAACATACTGCACTCACGGCTGCAGCCCTCTGTCAGCACATGACTTCACACCACATTATCACAATTATCATACCAGGTGCTGCGGACAAGCTGTGGCTGACAGGCATGCCATGAACCAAGTGTCTCCTAATTTAATTCTGAATTATATCAAGTCAAAATCAAATAAGCTCACACTGTCATAGCAGCTTTTAAGACTTCTCACACAGTTTCTGATATGAAGGCTTGAGGCAACATAGTGCAGTTGGCAATAAGTGTTGTGTTTGGAAACTAAACAATAAACATTAAAATCACTGTAACACATGTAACATATAATTTGTTGGCCAATTTGATTCATTTTTATAGCTTGTTTTATTATTGAATAGTCTTGACTTGTTTAGACTCAACTTTGGTCTAGTTTAGTCCAACTTTATTCTTGGTTTCATCCAGGCTAGTTCTTTTTTGTGTTGCTGTACTGCATATTAAGTGCCAATTGATGTACACAGTTTAAATCTACTGTGTGAGATAATATGTTTTTCATTCTCTTTCAGTCCTCTCTCAAACAAGGACACTGTGGATGTTGGACGGTTGCACTTTAAGGCCCTCTTCACTCCAGGACACACTGTTGGTCACATGATCTATCTCCTGGATGGCAGAGAGGTCGGAGCCCCCTGTAGTCTCTTTTCTGGGGACCTGGTGTTTTTGTCAGGATGCGGTAAGTTACAAGAAAAATAATCTAACTGGGTAAGGTGGATCTTTAGACTGAAATAAATGAGGATAGCACTGAGAATCTGTAAATTACTAGTCCATATTTTTCTTGCATATTTTAAACTGCATGGAGCTAGTATAGCACCAGTGATACCACAGCTGGAGAACCACTAAGTTAGAACATTGCCACAAAAAGATAATTTTCTCTGTCCTTGTGCTTTCAGGGCGCATGTTTGAAGGCACAGCCCCCACAATGCTGTCATCGCTGGATACAGTCAGCTCTTTAAGTGACGATACCTTCTTATGGCCTGGTATGCAACACTTTCTGTCGTTTGATATATATTAAAAGCCTCTGCGATTATGTTATGTTTTTATTCTTTAACGTTTGTCCACCCTCAGGCCATGAATATGCTGAGGATAACTTGCTGTTTGCTGCTGAGGTAGAGCCCCAGAACAGTGCCAGGGAAAACAAGTATCAGTGGGTGCTGCAGCAGAGAGGACACAAGCTGTGCACGGTGAGAATAGACACACACACTTTCACTCACACACACACACACACACACACACACACACACACACTGCTTTAGACTGGGCCTGTTTGGCATGCAGTGCTCACAGGATTCATGGTGTCCACAGCCTTTTGTATGGAGGCTTATCCCCGCCTACAGTCTGCGCTATGTGAGGCCTGTCTGTTCTTTTTTTAACTTGGCGGTGTAATGTATGGCACTGTTTGGAGCAGAGTAATGTCCATGGTAAAGGGATAAAATATATAAATATATAAATATATAATATATATATATATATATATATATATATATATATATATATACACATATATATATATATATACATATATATATATATATATATATATACACACACACATATATACATATATATATATATATATATATATATATATACACACACACACACACACACACACACACATATATATATATATATATATATATATATATATATATATATATATATATATATATATATATATATATATATATATACATATACATACATATATATATATATATATACACATACATATATATATACATACATTCTTAAGGTTAAGGTACCAAACAACATCCTCATATAAAATTACAAGAATGTAAACTCTCAGGTTTAGTCTGTTACTTCAAAATCTTATGTCCAATGTCTTATATCCCAAATTTAAACATTGCATTACTCTAAATGTGATTCCGAAGTTTGAAATTAAGTTGAGGTAAAAGCTTTACTAATTAGCAATTACTCAAACATTTTTTAAACACTTTTATTAAGTGTTAGTCAATGAATAACTGATAACAATCTTAGTAAAGTTTTGAGATTTTTAACATTTTTTATTTAAAAGCCTATTTAGATTTGAGAAATGACTTAGCTCTAAGCTTTAAGGGTAAAAACACACAGTCCTCACCATTATTCAGAACAGAATTTAATTAAATGTACTTCCAAATACAACATTATATTGCAGTAATAATTTGATAATTTCCACAGCCCAAGGTGATATATCCATAGAAAGACTGGACTACGAAGATGTCATATTATCTTTGACAGTACCTAACTCTTTTCCTAGAGCCCTTCCACAATTGGAGAAGAGAAAGAGTACAACCCTTTCCTCAGGACTCACTCGGCAGATCTCCACCGGTCTTTGGGTCTACAGCAGCAGCAGGATGAAGACTGGACCCAGTTCAGAGCCAGAGTACTAGAAGAGCTCAGAAAACGAAAAGACCTATACAACAGAAGATAATCCACATGCTAAGACTGGGAGCCTGTTAAATCATGCTTTAGTAGGGCATGGGTTGAATGAAAAGGGTCTACGCACACATTGCACAACTGTATAAATAACTTGTCACCACTTATTGTGACCTTACTGCAGCCAACCACTAGAGGGAGATATTTTTGTTTATATTTGTAGTTTAGTGACCAACAACAGTTAGTCCTACTTCTTGTGACCATATTGGACATTATAATGTTATTGATACTTTAAGACTTTCCTCACCGTTATCTCATGATTCTGGTAGCTTTACAAGTACAGCTTTGATACACATCTCAATCTTTTGGATCAGTTTAAGTAGATGGTTTGTTTAATGATATTTATTTTATCTATCTGAATATCGGTACTAAAATTACCATGCTTGGTACACTTGAATTTGAAAAAAATCTTTATGAGAGTGGCAATAATTTTGAGACAATCTGTTTTTCTTTCTTTCTTTTTTCTTTTTTTTTTTTTTTTTACAGTTATGGTACATTTTTGCACACAAGAATCAGCTAATGTTTTGAATGTTTTTTATGCCATTCTATGTAATTATTTTGGCTGTGGTACTTTTTGTATTGCCATATTTTCTAATTTTGCTGTATGTAAAATGGCTGAATAGCTGTTTGAAAAATGAATTATTAATCAGAATGGGTAGGATTTTAAACATGCTGAAATGTGAACTGACATTTGATTTAAATGAAGGAATTTTAATGACTACCAAATTAATGCTTATTTTGTACTTGAAAGGACTTTCTAACTGTGACAATGAGTAAAACAATTTAGGTACCAAAATGTAGACCTTTAAAAGGTGTGTAAACAAATATATTTTACATTAAAAATTGGTGGCAGCTGGAGGCAAAAATGAAGTGGAACATAATGTGATTTCAATTGAGAAACTGAGATTACTGGGATGCAGAATATCACGACATATGAAAAATCAAGAATGGTTTGGGAAATGATAACCATACAGATATGTGCAATTGATTTAATTGGGGATTATTATAATGGTATTATTACATTTTACCTAAAAATATATTACATCATTTGCCACAAATTGTTTTTTGTGAAGCTCAAATGGTTTTATTTCCTTTTGTAAAGTGACACTTCTACCCTAAAAATTCTAAATTGGTATATGGACAGATTTAAAACCATTTAGATGTGATCATTTTTAATTGTTGAAAATGTATTATGGTCTACTTAATTTTGCCTCACTTGAACATTGTGATGACATAGTATTACAAAGGGTCTATGGCATACCTAAGCTCATTCATATTTTGTGCTTTGAGCATGTCTATTTGAAGTCTGTTTAAGATGAGACAAAATGCAAATGTATTAACCTTTAAACTATTAGGGAATGACATGAAGGCTTCAGTTGCTCCTGAAGAAGTGCATCTTGTACCAAAGCACCTTGTCCCCTGGTGATTGTTGACTAAAATACTCGACTGAAAGATGCTTCTGATACGCATCTCATTTGCATATGTTTGAGTTACGGTTGCCTCCACATGGGAAACTGTCTCACTTCAGGTTACGTTTTAATGAGTGTATTTGAAAGTAAACTCCTCCATTTGAGCTGTGTTTGTTGTCTTTAAAGGAGACAGACCCCAATCTATTTTTAGCCCTTTTTTGTACTTTACACCAAACATTTGAAGTGAACCCTACTTTATCCATGTGAAAACTGTAATAAAAATGTGAGATAAATGGGATAATAAATGCTGGGTCAGTTTTATGGTAAATTCTGTTACTCTGTTGAAAGAAGATTTTATACATGTCCAATTGTCCAATGCAGAGCCAAACTACAGAGAAAGACTGGAGGAATACTGATACAGAGTAATATATATGTGTGTATGTATATATATATATATATATATATATATATATATATATATATATATATATATATATATATATATATATATATATATATATGCTCTTACTTTGATTATTTTTTGTTTTTTTGTACATGTACATGCTGGTATACCCAGAAATACAACCATGACCGTATGGCATAAAACTGTGGTATGTATACCATTCGGGTGATACTTGGACAGATCTTGAGTATCTCGGCTTGCCTAATTTAGAGCTTGTTTTATCCACTTTTTGCCCTCTTTTGAACATTTCCTTGTTTTGAACTAGAGCGGTTATGATGTAGTGGAAGACAGGTCAACATTTGTTCACTTTTTGACCTGGTTTAGCCCTAGATTAGTCCTGGAGAAATCTAGGTTTACATCTGGTGGTACTTGCAAAACCAAATCTTTTCTTTGGTGGTACTTTGTGTGAAAAGTTTGAGAGCCATTGCCATAAAGTACAAGCCTATGTTGTGATTCTGCAAGACACAAAACTATCCATGTTTGTAATAATTCATTATTAAGTGAATCAGGAAATTTACAAAACATTCATGTGTCACTTTCACAGCTGATAGGTTACTATAGTGTTCAGATCTAAGGTGGCATTTGAGGTAAGCATGAAGAATAAAGCCTTTCCCACAGATTGAACAGCTGAAAAGTCTCTCTAGTGTGAAACCGTGTATGTCTTTTGAGATCAGACCTAGATATGCACCTTTTCTGACATAAAGAACAGCTGTAAGGTCTTTCCACCATGTGTCTTCTCTAAAGGATTTCTAGAGAACACTTCTGAAAAAATGTTTTAGGACAGAGTGAACAGCTGAAAGGTCTCTTCCCTGAATCCTCATGTGTTTTCAGATTACTAAAACTGCTCAGTGTTTTCTTACAAACTAAACAGGTGTTGGGTTCTCTCTTGAATAAAGGCTGTTGTGTTTTAATAACTCTTTTTCAGTGGAACATTTCTTTTGACAAACCTTCAAAATATGGCATGATTCCATTTGGGAGGGTGGCGCAAGTCTCTGCTGCAGACATGTTATTACTGACTGATGATCCAATCATCATCGTCAGTCTGTTCCTCGGACTCTAAATGCAAATATTCTTCACTGTCGTTCTTGTTTATGGTCAGTTTGTATTTCTATGAGATGTGAGGAGAGCTCTTCATCTTTTACACAAACAGTGAAATCTGGGGGACAGATTTGACGCTCTGTTCCTCTGGTCCTGGTTTAACCTGTGGGGCCCTTGACAGTTCCTAATTCTTTCTGAGCTCAGGACTGAGCACGTGGCTCTGGACCTCTGTGAACCACGACTTGTGGGCTAAGGACAGTGTCCAGGATCTTCTGTTTCTTCTAGTTCACCTCTTTGGAGCGACACAGTTCCTCCCCATACTCCGTTTTTGTTCTTTTAACAAGCGCAAATATCTCCCGCAGCCGCAGTGAGCCGCTCATTCACCAATGCTCTCAGCGTTTGGCCTTCAGACATTTTGCACACTTTCTGTTAGCTTTACCTCGCTTTCTTCTTCGTACTTTAAATTGAATTGTACAGCTCTAATTTGTGGTGAGGGTTGCCAGATTTTCAGAGGGCAACAATGAGCAACCAAGCGTCGATAATAAGAAGAGACTTGGCAACTCCAGATTCGTTCAGCCCCTCCCCACTTGGACGCATTACGTGCTCACGCAAGACGTCATACGGAAGTGTTTTTTTACAGAAGAGCCCATCAGCCAGGCTGAGCTGTCACTAGTCTCTTCATTGAAAATGTTGAAAGCTGTGGTTTTAATCGGTGGTCCACAAAAGGGTAAGGCTATGTTATATTCATCTACTATTATTCTGCTTGATCGGCAAGAAACGAAGCTACCAGTGTCATCAGCAGCTACTAGGAGACCCCTGAGCTCCTGTTATCACTGACGTGGCAAATTATCAGTCAGCTGGCGAACAAACAAAACAAAGCGACATGTGTTTAAAGGGATGGGTGCTCTGACTTATATTCTGTGTACTTGATGCTTCTGTCAACAGAACAATATGTATTTCACTAGCTGGCATATTTGCGCAGGCTACAGAGGGAGGATTTTTGTTTTTTACATGGCATTCTTCTTCATGGTATGCAAGTATCTTATAGTTTGAGTGTATCTTTGTACTTTGTAGTATTATTCAAAATGACTACAGAAACGACCCATAATGTAAAGATACTCTCTTGAATACCGTTTATCATAAAATTTAATCCATGAAGATTGTCTGAATGACTTTATTTAAATCACATAATAAATAAAAAACGAACTAAATGCGTTTGAAAGTGATATTATTAGGCTACATATTTTCCTCCTCCAGGCACCAGGTTCAGGCCCTTGTCATTTGAAGTCCCCAAACCTCTTTTTCCTGTTGCTGGAGTCCCCATGTTGCAACATCACATAGAGGCATGTGCCAAAGTGAGTATCTGCATATCATCATGACAATGATAAATATGTATGTATCTTTTTAATGATTCTTTCCATGGTTGTTCTTGTGCTTTTGGTTGTACTAATGTGTTGCATTTTTTACAGGTCCCAAATATGAAGGAAATTTTGCTCATTGGCTTTTACCAGCCTAATGAAGAATTGACCAGATTTCTGGTCAATGCACAGCAGCAATTTAAAATTTCAATCAGGTAAGCACATCATTTGCAATACTTGGTTCATGTGTTATCACATGATTCTAAATTGCATATTTTTAACAGAGGTGAAAGGTGGGTCAAAATAAGTTCAAAATAATGCAGATGTTTGGATCTGGTAAATAAAGAACATCCACTTTTTCTCTTTATTATTAAAATATTGAGTTATTTTTCAAACACAGCTTGTCAGTTTAAAGGACTTTAATTCTGTAGTCCCAGTAAATCAACATATGTGAATTATATTTGGAAATCCATAAATAGTTAATTTCTCGTGGTTATATAGGCCCCTGCTAGCAAATTTCACAATATCATGATTTCGAACTATACTAGAAACACTACCCTTTTTTGTGTTTATAAATACCGTAATAGCTGCTTTGTTTCTGTGTGCTACAGGTATTTACAGGAGTATTCAGCCTTGGGCACTGGAGGGGGTATCTATCACTTCAGAGATCAGATTGTTTCAGGGAGTCCGGAGGCTTTCTTTGTTCTCAATGCAGATGTATGTTCAGCTTTTCCTCTCACTGAAATGCTAAGTTTTCAGAAGGAGCACGGAGAGCCAAATAGCTTTGTAATCCTCGGCACTACAGTAAGACCAGCAAAATTGTAATAATTAAAAAGTACAATGAATTGATTTAAACTTTTATTTTATTTTTTTGTCTCATTAGGCAAACAGAAAGCAGTCCCTAAATTATGGATGCATTGTTGCAAATGAAGAAACAAATGAGGTAACCCTACTTCATTAGTTTACAAAGCTTACAAATTCCTTGCCAGTGGAATACAATAGGGATTTCCATATCCTAGTTAGATATATAAAACTGTATTCAAAATACATGCACAATAGGCAGAAATGCTAGCTGAAGATCTGACAGATTGCCCCCAGCGACAAATCCCTATGGGGATCAATAAAGTCTACCTTTTAATCTCTATTAAAAGTTTATAGTGTTATGATTAATATAATCAATATAATTTATTGTGATGTGTGTGCTACTGTATCTAAATAATTTCCCTTGTGGATCAAGTTTGTCTTAGTCTATAAAGGTAGGGTAGTGTGCTTTTAGAATAAATCAAATTAACTTAACTCCATAATACTTGTTTCTTTAGGTCCAGCACTACGTTGAAAAGCCCAGTACATTTGTTAGCGACATTATCAACTGTGGGATCTACCTGTTTAACCCAGACATTTTTAAGCACATTGGAGCTGTTTTCCAGAAGAACCAGCAGGATATGTTGTTGTGAGTCACTTTTCTGTCTGCTCTCTAAGCATGCACATTACCATCACTTTTGTTTTCTTCATTTTTCCTCTTCCTTCTCCATTCCTCCATGATTTCTGTTACTTCATCAGATACCCGTACGATGGGTAAGTCGGTTTACGTAGGTTGCACGGTGTGGTTAGAGCACTTACTGTGTGGTGTGAGCCCTATGAAAAAATAAAATATCGCCTCATTTGTGGTGTGCTAGCTTTTGCTATTGTGACTATTTCTTAAAGCTTTGTTTGCTAGTCAAGGTGTAGTTTGTAGTGCATTTCATTGCATCTTGTTCTGCATACATTTACATGATTTGTGCTTTTTTGTGGAAAATAGTTATAGAATGCTGTACAACTCTTACATAATACACTTCAAGGTATGCAGTTAAGGTGTTTTGGACATGTGCATTGTAGTTGCTGTTCTTTAATGTGGTTCTGATATATATTCAAGACCATTTCAAACTGTTTAGGAAAAGTCCAAATTGATGATATTTACTCTATTATTATGTATCAATGTTTGTTTAAGTATGTATCTAGTTTTGTTTGTTGTTTTAGTATTGATTAGAATCTAGTGTTAAGTTAACAGTAAAACTCGAGGCATTTTTTTTCTTCTTTGACACATTTGCAATTCAAAAGACAGTATGGGTTTGGCACAGTCTTAGTTTTCCCTACATACTGTGTAATAGAAGTAGTATTCTTGTCTAGTCTTAGTAGCCTTGTAAATTTTGTAGTAGCAGTGAGCTTCCATTGAGAATTTAGATTATTCCTTTTTCCTTTCTTTTTTTCCCCTCCCAAAAATGTCTTCAATCACAGTCACTTGCACAATAGACTTTATCCATTTGCACTTGATTATTCCTAATGAAATTCTATGGGATATCTTTAAGTTTTATATTAAAGTTTAAGTTCAGTTGTGGTCATCCAAGGAAATGTTAGGGTCACCCAATTTTACCCGTCTCACTTCTGCAAGCACTGCACTGAATCTGCACGTTTTTCTTTAACACATCATAGATTCTTGTTAGAAACTATGTGCCTAATACTACAAGCTCTCATGGGGACCACTTTGCCTTAAAGCAACTTCCCTGCTTTTCAGTAAAACTTCGATTATGGGTTGGTATCTGTTAAATATTGATGAAATGAATATTTTAAGAGCGTGTTTCATCTCGGGGCTCTTACAATACACTATATCAGAGACTTTGGCTGATTAATATGGAGCATGTGGACTCTTGCCTGAAGTTTTGGACACTAGGTAATCAGCTTTGCTATCAAGTCAGCACTGACCCCATCAATGCAGTCTTGCATTTTAAGTTGAGAGAATGCAACTTATTTATTCTCCAGGCTCAGCTTTAGGGAAGAAAAATTATTAACTTTTAAAAGTTCTAAAGGTGCACTATGTAACTTTTCTGATGGCATGTCCACCACTGGCTAATCTCCACGGAGATGTTATTGCTTGTATTCTTCCAAAGAAGGAGACTAAACTTATCTATCCCCACGGTGATGTACAGATGATGCCACCAGACAAAGTTACTGAGATGATCTGTGGAGAAGCAAACTTGCTCAATTTTTCTCAGGGTATTTTTCAATAATAAAATCATGAGTAACTGAACAAATGTAAGATATCTAAGTTTAATAATGTACTGTCCAAAGCAATAATCTCTCCATGGAGACAAGCTGATGGCCATCCATGGATAGTCTTCAGCTGAATGTATTTGTGTTTTGTGCTAATGACTGAACATGTGTCTTTTGCAGAGAGGAACCAAACAATGGGTGGCATAGAGCAGAGCATATACGACTGGAGCAGGACATTTTCACTGCTCTGGCAGGGCAAGGCAAACTCTACGTGTACAAGACCCTCAGCTTCTGGAGCCAGATTAAATCGGCTGGGTGAGTGATTTTAGCAAGAAGAAGTTTGTAGCAATATCTGTGTGGAATGCAATGTTACAAAAAACACATTAAATGAAAACTCACATCTACAGATTATATTTTCATGTTGTTTCCATCCATGCATTAGGGACTGGATTAAAATTCTGCAGCAACAATGTAACATCCAAATGTTATTAAAAGGCCAATATTATGATATTTTCTGATCATAATGTTGTTTCCTCATAAAAAAGGAGTTGTGTTTTATTTAATTCATACATGTTTAGCACACAAGACCTGCAAATTTAAGAGTTCTCCTCTAAAACTGAAAACACTCTGTTCCACCTTGTGAAATGAACAATGCATATTAAAAGGCTTTGTGAGGGCTCCTCCTTGCAGAGCATTCTGAGCTTTGGAGATGTGGATAAACTAATAATGAACATGTGTGAATGAAACAAAACACAACTCCAGGTATGTTTTTGATGATTAAATGAGCTTAAATCTCACAAGAGTTCATTTTTCCCTGTTATAAGATCTTTAACAATGTATTTCTTTAGGTCTGCAATTTATGCAAGTCGACTGTACCTCAACCAATATCACACAAGTCACCCTGAACGTCTGGCTACAAACAAAGAAGGAGCCCCCAAAATAAGTGGTAATGTTACTTTTTGACTATTTTGATAAGACTTTAATAAACACAAATCTATATATTGAGCATATTTCTATATTATAGGTAATGTTTACATTCATCCAACTGCAAATATCGACCCCACAGCAACAGTAAGGAAAAGCTTTGCTATTGTGCATTTGATGGTAATGTTCAAAGTGCAGTGTCTTGTAACAGATTGTCTCTTCTGTGCACAGCTGGGCCCAAATGTGTCCATTGGGATGGGAGTGACGATTGGTGCTGGGGTCAGAGTACGAGAATCCATCATTCTTCATAATGCAACACTACAAGTAAGCACATTTGAACCTACAACATAGTCATATAGGTCTAGCTATAGACAAGTGAAATTCTTGTCCACCCCAATCTAAGCTACTACCTAATATAAATAAACATATATCACTATATTTGCCCACCTAAAATTTTAATGTGCTCACCCAAACTCAGCTGTGTAGAACTGGGCCTGATCAAAGGTTGTATCAACTTATAACCAAGTACACATTTTATTTTTTTAGTTATTGTTAATGATTGTGAAGTTATCAAAGGCTGTACAAATTAAAGAAATGCTAAATAGATCTCATTACACACTGCGACATATCGACTGCAACTGTTTTATTGGTTACATTTCCCACAATTCAACTCTGACACCCTTTGTATTCATCTTTAACTTCTCTGTCACTACATAAATAATGTTGCGTTTGCTCTTTCAAAGCTGTCATTTCTAATGATTTGCGAGCTGCTTTAATTTAATCTCATGTCTCCAGTGATAACTCTGAGCCTCCACAATGAGTTTAGGTTTCATCTGACATATTGATTGCACTGTTTTATTCACAAGGACAATTTGTTATTTGGGGTGTGATTTAAAATGAGTCTCTAATGTAGCTTTAGTGATGAAATTCTGGCAAATACAAAATTCGTATCACAATGAACTAAAATATGACACCTTAACCCTGGTTTAGCTTTGTAGTTAATGAGTACATATTACAAATCTACCAGTTTTCGATATCGATATCATTAAATGAGGGCTATCTTTTCCATTTTTGTCACATCTCGCTTCTCTCAATAGGCAGCTGAATATTTTTATAGTGTTATTATTTTAAAATACATACTTAAACATTGAGAATGACCTCTCCTCCCTAGGATCACTGCTGTGTTTTGAACAGCATTGTGGGATGGGAAAGCACCATCGGCAAATGGGCCCGAGTGGAAGGCACCCCCAGTGACCCCAACCCCAATGACCCTTATGCAAGAATCGACAGCGAAACGTTGTTCAGAGAAGGCAAACTCACTCCGTCCATTACTATTCTTGGTAAGATCTTCTGACATGCAGAGATATTCCTCTTGTTGCTCACATGTATTAGTAATGTGTTAAATAATCAAATGCATTCATATATATACCAGACAGAAACATGTGTAATGAGCTTTTTACATCTTAGGTTATAAAAACTGTGCAAAGGCTATTTTAATAAATACAGTGTTTTATTCAAATAGTTTAGTGTTGATAATAAAAAATGCATTAAAAATCATAATACAGATAGATAATAAATGTTTAATACATCCCATGCCACTTTGGACATATTGAAATATAAAGATTTGCGAGTCAATGGAAAGAGCATTTACAAGTTCAACATACAATGGCCTTTTTACCTAATTCTGGCATATAAAAATATTTTTTTATTAAAGCTGCACTATGTGATCCACCACCTGCTTGTCTCCATGAGGTTCTATTGCTCCATGAAGATTAATAAATTTAATGCCATACTGAACACAGTATGGCATTAAACTCACAAAGGCAGAGAGACTAGCAGGTGGTGGACCCTGCTCCAGAAAAGTTGCTTAGTGCCTCTTTAATATGCACTGTCCTTAACATAAATAAACTGTAAAATATCTTTTTATAATACTGTACTTTGCCCTCTAACATTTATTATTTGTGATCTGTTTGGCCATATGGGACAATTCATTTGCATTATCTGTAAAAAATAATGAAAAAGCCAGTATAGCTCCTCCATAAACACAGCCTATTTGACAAGTGTAATATATTATGTGATGTGCAGAGGCAGAGCAGGGACTAACTCCAGTCTGGCTTCATCTCCATAGGTTGTAATGTGAGCATTCCCTCTGAGGTCATTATACTCAACTCCATCGTCCTCCCACACAAAGACCTCAACCGCAGCTTCAAAAACCAAATCATCCTCTAGTTTGGGGCTTGCCTTGCCGTTCCCCCTACTGGTGCAGATGAAGGACACGCTGACACTGCCTCTGAGTTACTGTATACAAGATGCTGAAAAGGAAAAAAGATATGGGACTTGAGAAATGATTGAAGTACAGATTTTTTTATATTTGCCCACCAGCCTTTATGCATCAGTCGGTATGAGCATTCAACAACTTTTGACATGTTGACTGACCTCGAGATTTGCACTGTTCAAGCATCACACTTTGACCGCCTGCTTTATATCATACAAACTTGATTGGGTTCACCTTCAACAACTTGATATCATAATTTCAGAAAGACTGAGCATTACATTACATTTCTCAATTCAGTATTTTATTTAAAAAGGGTAACTAGGAGTTGAGTCTTCGAATTTGCCATATTCATCTTGTGGTTTTAAGTCCTTTCAACTGATATCAATCAACCTTTGTGATTGAATGAGGCAACACAATTTTTTTTTTTTTTTGGGGGGGGGGGGTAATTAGAAAATAAATTTTAGGTTATTGGTGGAGGCAGGGAACACTTTGAACTTTGTTTCATATGGATAGGTTTGGTAATTACCAGTGTAGAGATATTAAACGAGGTAAAAACAAATACGCAATTTGACAGTTATGAACATTTTTGCTGGGTTACGATTATTGTTTTCAGATAATTTTAGATAAAAGTTACACATTGCACATCTAAGAAGCTATCTGTGTAAACTGTTATTCTCTTCACCTTGCAGTGGTAATGCCAGATCAGTGGACATTGTGTTTTTATTATATTTGCCCAAAATTGTTGTTAAATTAGTAATATATTTTGTTGAATGTACTCTGAAGTTAATTTATTAATGACCACTGTTTCCCAAGGGCACCCTGGACTGATTATGAACTTTGCTATTAGAACAATAATTAAGGGAATGAAATACTTTGTAGACTGACTGCATGGTGAATCTGAAGTGACAATTATTTGTGTGGCTTTTGATTAAAACTTTTGTTACCGTACGGCTCTATTGTTACTTGCGCCAGTATAAATCAGCGCGTTAAGAATTTGCATATGTACATTGCAATCAAGAGATGTTGTCTTTTTCAAATGGGAACCCAGTGGGGAGCCTGCACACTTTTACTGTACAACTCCACTCACAGAAATTGTTGGTTTGCAATCACTGAAGGGAGTGTTTTTAATTTAGTCTTCCAGCACATTAACATTTACTTATTAAGCCCTCAAGCTCTCCTGATCACTTCAACACTTTTGCTCCAATTACTGCCTGCACAAGTGTCTATTAAGACTGATGTAAATTGTGATACCAAAGTACAGCATAATATATTTTAATCAAGTCTCTTCACAGTCTGTCCTTCACGCAATGTTAGAAAAACAAGTTAATGAACACTTTTCATTCACAACTATAATTTAGTTTTTGCAATGACTTAGCTGTGCTTTTCATTGCTGATTTTGAAGACATTATTTAAATTTTAATTAAATTTTTATGTACAGTTCTCAGTACAGTATTTAAATTGAGATGGGAATGAAATGTGTACAAGTTCATTCTAGATGCAGTTCTCTAAAAACATACATACAATTCTTGACTCTGAAAGTTCACAAAAGGGAATATGCACTTAGTGTGTTCAGTGTTTTTATTCCTGAGGCTAATGTTTTTGTTATGTACAAAAGACAATTCATCATTTCACAATTTTTTTTTTGGTTATATTTAAATGTGATCATAGCAACACACAGACAATGTTAAATTTCTTGAGAGATAATGCCTGGGGGGAAATGTCTAGCCAACAAATCATTTCAGTGCACTGTACAGGGAAATAATGCAGTCTCAAAGTGTCAAGACTATGGTAGAACATAGTCTCATGTTCAAAACTATAAATATGTCCATTTTAATTGGGATCTTTCAACCCACTGATAACCGCTGATTGGTGACACAATGGGTGCCAGCGAGAAGGTTACAGGTTTGATTCCTGGATCACCTGGGCCTTTCTGCGCAGAGTTTTCATGTTTTCTTCAGGGCCCCAGCAACCATGAAGGATAGGTCAAATGCAGAGGACATGGAGACAAGTGTACCTTAACCTTAATAAAACTCTTATTCAATAAAGTAAATGTGTAGTATCTGAAAAAAGAAAATGTACTTGCTTTGTGTAAATGTCAAGGAGTACTTCTTACCTCTGTACACATGGTAGGCCTACCGAGAGCTCAGATTCCTGAAGTTTTCAGAGTGTCGCTTGCTCAATAAACCAAGTGTGGATATTTGTCATCTGTGAGTGTTATATGTTTCAAATAAGAAGATAAAAGTAAAACATTTTGGATGTGTCATAAACATTTATATTAGGTCCTTGTGAAGTACAGTTGTGTTTACCAGACTGAATGTCCACCACCTCCCTCTCCCCTGATGCTTCCTGATTTGTTGCGTTTACTCTGAGCTCTGGGTCCAGTCCTTTGTAAATGGAGCATGAGGAAAGCCAGAGTCGTTCTATTAGCCTTAGGAGGTCTCTGGTGAGTGTGTGCATTACTGTCCCAGCTTCTTCTGATGAGGCACATCCCACTGTTATGAACTGAGCAGAGGGCACCGAGCTGCAACACTACAGGCACGAAAGGGACGAAAGACACTAGCAGTTTGTAAATTTTCACATTCAGGTCAATTTAGTGAAGTCTCAGAGGAGCATGAGCTGAGCGATTCTTATACACCCTCTCCAATACAGACAACATTTGACTGATAAATATTTCATTGTAATTGTAGTTGAAAAACTGTAAAATAAATCGGTCACTTCCCATAGCACTATTTTTTTTTCCATGGGCACTTACACTGATAATGGACCATTCAAACTGATAATCACATGAGTCAAGTCAGGGCTGAGTCTTGCTAGAGTCAGAGGTGCACTATGTAAATTTTCTGGTTGAGGTACGCTACCTGCTTTTCTCCATGAAGATGTTATTACTTTGCTTTGCTGGTGTCACTTGCTTCAAGAGAGATATACTATACATATTCTAGGCAAAGCATTAAGCCTACAGGTACATCTGCATGAAAACAAGCTGGCATGGGTTGACCCACCAGAAAAGTTACACAGTGCACCACCTTTTCCCCACTGTAACAGGAAGGACTGCGGTTCTGTTGTGGTGTCCTTATGCAAGAGATTTCATATCTATAGACTACATCCTCTTGTGGCAGGTGATATTAAGAAAGGTATCAGACACAAAAACTTGCCAAATCATTATGCTCCTAATAGCTTGTGTAGTTTCCTTGTGAAACCAAGATGTAGCAGAAAGCTCATTACCTGCACTGGCAAAGTACAGTAGTCTATGTATGCGCAGACTATTTATGGAGTGCAGATTTGGAGTGCTCGGGCAGAGGTCCAGGCCTGTTCCATCTGAGAGCTCTTGTCTTAGTTTGGCATTAGCTCGGCGCGTTGCTAGAGTGAAAAGATGATGCCGAGCAAACGCCTAAAGCCCTGACAAATGAGCTGTCAAACACAAAGTGACACCTCACACGGCAGCAATTCAGACACACTGGAAAAAATAGCATCTTCTGTCATACATCACCTCCAAATGCTAATGCTTTGCTAACTGTGCTATTCAAAAAGATCATAGTGCTTGACTCATCCCACTATACCCTGAGTGTTTTAAACACACATGATAAGCCAAAGTTGGTGTTTTTTTTTTTTTTTTTACTTTAATAAGGGCAATGCAATTTTTACTGGGACATGAAAATTGTCTAAGTGTTTTTCTTGGCACCAATGTGACAGCCAATTCAACTTGACAGTGTGAATCTGTAGCTTGTCGAATATAAAAGAAGAAAAAAAACAGGCATATTGGAATAATTACTGCGAGGGATGTCACAGTATCAAATTTTAGTGTTACATAATGCCCCTTTAAATAAATTGTAATAAAGAATACAATGTACATGTACTTCAGAAAATTTTATTTTTAAATAAGAAAATAAAATAAAAATTCCAAATCAGCCTTCTGTTTATTGACTAATTTCCGTACATTCTTTAAGGGTGATCTTCTGATCAGCTCCATCTCTGGTTCGTCATCTTCTGAAGACATGATTCTTTTTGTCAACTTCATCAAATCATTTCTGATCAGCTCATGTTCTTCATCTTCTGGCAATGGCAATTGTTCTGGAAAAGCCCAGAACAGCCGTCCGCTCGTGGACTGGTCCTCAATTTTCACCATGGGTCGATGTGTAGGGGAAAATTCCAATCTGCCCCTGTCTTCTGGAGATACAGTTCTCGTCAGTTTCATCACATCACTTCTGATCAGCTCATATTTTTCATCTTCCGGAAACACGGTTCTTCAGGTCAGCTTCATCACATCACTTCTGATCTGCTCTTGTCCTTCATCTTCTGGAGACATGGTTCTTCTTCTCAGCTTCATCATGTCACTTCTGATCAGCTCGTGTTCTTCATCTTCTGGCAGTGGTGGACTGGCAATTGTTCTGGAAAAGCCCAAAACGGCTGTCCACTGGTGGACCAGTCCTCAATTTCCACAGTGGGGGAAAATTCCGGGGCAGTTTTTAGGTGCCAATCTGCCGGTCTTCTGGAGATACAGTTCTTCTAGTCAGCTTCCTCAAATCACTTCTGATGTGCTCTTGTCCTTCATTTTCTGGAGACATGGTTCTTCTTGTCAGTTTCATCACATCACCTCTGATCAGCTCATGTTCTTCATCTTCTGGAAACACGGTTCTTCTGGTCAGCCTCATCAAATCACTTCTGATCTGCTCTTGTTCTTCATCTTCTGGAGAGATGGTTCTTCTCATCATCTTCGTCAAATCACTTCTGATCAGTTCCTGTTCGTCATCTTCTGGAGACACGTTTTTTTTCTTGTCAGCTTCATTAGACCTCAGGACCACGGGGCTCAGATGTCCCCTCCAAACCAGTCACCATGGGAACAGAAACAGAAACAGAGTTAAGGCATGTGCACATTAAAAAATAAGCTACTATGGAATTATTTCTTACCTCATATTTGTTTATTATATATATTATATATATATATATATATATATATATATATATATATATATATATATATATATATATATTATCATCTTCTGGCAGCAGTGGACTGGCAATCTGTGTATTCTGGAAAAGCCCAGCACGGCCGTCCACTCATGGACTGGTCCTCAATTTCCACCGTGGGTCGATTTGTGGGGAAAAATTCCAGGGCCGTTTTTTAGTCCCAATCTGCCCCTGTCTTCTGGAGATACAGTTCTTCTGATCAGCTTCATCACATCACTTCTGATCAGCTCATGTTCTTCATCTTCTGGAAAGACGGTTCTTCTGCTCAGCTTCATCAAATTACTTCCGATCTGCTGTTGTCCTTCATCTTCTAGAGACATGGTTCTTCTCGTCAGTTTCATCACATCACTTCTGATCAGCTCATATTCGTCATCTTCCAGAAACACGGTTCTTCAGGTCAGCTTCATCAGATCACTTCTGATCTGCTCTTGTCCTTCATCTTCTGGAGACATGGTTCTTCTCGTCAGCTTCATCACGTCACTTCTGATCAGCTCGTGTTCTTCATCTTCTGGCAGTGGCGGACTGGCAATTGTTCTCTAAAAGCCCAAAACGGCTGTCCACTGGTGGACCAGTCCTCAATTTCCACCGTGGGGGAAAATTCCGGGGCCGTTTTTAGGTGCCAATCTGCCGGTCTTCTGGAGATACAGTTCTTCTAGTCAGCTTCATCAAATCACTTCTGATGTACTCTTGTCCTTCATTTTCTGGAGACATGGTTCTTCTTGTCAGTTTCATCACATCACCTCTGATCAGCTCATGTTTTTCATCTTCCGGAAACACGGTTCTTCAGGTCAACTTCATCAAATCACTTCTGATCTGCTCTTGTTCTTCATCTTCTGGAGAGATGGTTCTTCTCATCATCTTCATCAAATCACTTCTGATCAGCTCCTGTTCGTCATCTTCTGGAGACACGTTTTTTTCTCGTCAGCTTCATTAGACCTCAGGACCACGGGGCTCAGATGTCCCCTCCAAACCAGTCACCATGG